CTGAGCTCTGTTGCATGGAGGAATCTGGAATAAAAGAAGCACAAGGTATATTTTATTGATTCCCTTTTCATTCAGGAATTAAAGATGGCATACAAAGAACTTCCTGTGTAGCGTGCTGTAATTTATAGCGTAAATGTCCCCCCAGACAGCCTGCCTACCTATCTACAATGTGATCCACTAGAAAAAAATTGTAACCAGTCCTCTGAATTGTGTTAGTGAAATGAACAAATGTACAATTCTTTGGTTTCTTCTAAATTCAGAATCATTCATCTGCAAACTTTAAATATCAGTTCATTACTCTAAATATTGTTTCTCTCTTTACTTGTAGGCATTCCTTGGAAAACCTTAAAGAAAAATTGACTATCTTTTAAATGAAAATGATGACATGGTATAATAGGTCATGTGTTGTTATTTTTCTCTGAGGTTTATTTATCTATTTTTAAGAACTGCTAAGGACCAGATGACTTTACTATGTCCTGATATGTAAAAACCATGGAACTCATTTTCAAATGATCCTATGAGCGCACATGAATGGGTGGCTCTGCCCAAATGGACCCCGGTGACTTTGTGATCTGAGCTCTTCCCAAGAAGCTGGGACTGGGAGCACAGCCACTTCTCAGAAGCCGCCTGACCATGGATGGAAACTGTGGGCTGGTTGGAGAAGGCTGAAGGGATGTGGATTCCAAAGATTTGGAGTTAAACAGATTCGATGCATGATGAACTGGACTTTCTTAAGAAGATTGGGGAAAGGACTTATTTAACTAGAAAACCATTTTGACTGAACCTTTTTGGTAAAATAGATTGACAACAGAGGTTTATGATTTTGGGGAATAAGCCACAATTGTTTGGAAAGTCCTCAATCAAAATAATAATAATAATAATAATAATAATAATAATAATAATAATAATAATAATAGTAGTAAAGTTGGAAGGGACTTTGGAGGTCATCTAGTCCAACCCCCTGCGCAGGCAGGAAACCCTATACCATTTCGGACAAATGGCTGTCCAATCTCTTCTTAAAATCAGCTAAATATTAGCCAGCAGTGTGCTGCAGCTGCCAAAAAGGCCAACACAGTGCTAGGCTGCATTAACAGAGGGATAGAATCAAGATCACGTGAAGTGTTAATACCACTTTACAATGCCTCGATAAGGCCACACTTAGAATACTGCATCCAGTTTTGGTCACCGCGATATAAAAAAGATGTTGAGACTCTAGAAAGCATACAGAGAAGAGCAACAAAGATGATTAGGGGACTGGAGGCTAAAACATATAAGGAACGGTTGCTGGAATTGGGTATGTCTAGTTTAACGAAGAGAAGGACGAAGGGGACATGATAGCAGTATTCCAATATCTCAGGGGCTGCCACTAAGAAAATAGCGTCAAGCTATTTTCCAAGGCGCCTGAAGGCAGGACAAGAAACAATGGATGGAAACTAATTAAGGAGAGAAGCAACCTAGAACTAAGGAGAAACTTCCTGACAGTTAGAACAATTAACCAGTGGAACAACTTGCCTCCAGAAGCGGTGAATGCTCCAACACTGGAGGTTTTAAAGAAGAGACTGGACAGCCATTTGTCCGAAATGATATAGGATTTCCTGCCTGAGCAGGGGGTTGGACTAGATGACCTCCAAGGTCCCTTCCAACTTTACTATTATTATTAATTATATTATTATTATCATTATTATTATTATTACTGTTATTACTATTATTAGTTTCCAGTGTTGGAACATTCACAGCTTCTGAAGGCAGGTTGTTCCACTGGTTAATTGTTCTAACTGTCAGGAAGTTTCTCCTTAGTTCTAGGTTGCTTCTCTCCTTGATTAGTTTCCACCCATTGCTTAAGGAAAAGTTTTATTAATAAGAATCAAATGAGGATATTTGATCCTGGATGGATCAGAGACAATGATTGGGGTGACTTATTGTAAATAAAAGCCATTGTAGTTAAATACAATAGATGGTTAAGAGAGGGCTTTGATGTTTAACTTTACTGTTGGCTCATCTGTTCAGCACTTTGCCTTTATACACAGTAGATAGATGAAGGACAAATTGATTCTAACTAGAGGTAGAAATTCACAGATTTTGAGCCTGCTTTGTAAGGGCAGGAAACTAATATTGTTACAATATATTTATCAACATTCAACTGATTTACTATATGTAAATCTGTTTTTGTCTTTTTTAATGTATATTTCTTTTTTTTAATGTTTTACCCATCCTTGTTTTGTTGTTGTAAATTTTTTGAGTTTGTATTCTATCTTAATTTGCCTAGTATTTTTTTTTTAAAAAAAGGTCCCTTACCAGAATCACATTTATGGGGTCACTCCGTACATATTTTTTAAGCTACCTTTAAACTCATAGAATCATAGGGTTGTAAGGCACTTCAGTGGTCTTCTAGTCCAACCTGCTGCTCAAGGCAGGAGCTTTATATAACCCGTCAAGTGACTGCCGGCCTATAGTTGAAAACCTCCAGTGATGGAGCATCCACAATGCCAGTTGGACAGCTATTCACTTGATCAATTGTACTCACTGACAGAAAGTTTCTCCTAACTTCTAGGTTGGATCTTTCTTTGACAACCTTTCATGCATTACTTCTTATGTCTTTTGTAGAATATAATTCAACCTCCTCTTCTTTGTGACAGCCCCTCAAATAGTGGTAGACAGCTACCATGCCCCCCCTTCCTTTTCTTCCATGGCCAAGTATACCAAGTACTCTCAATAGATTGTCATTTAGCGTCCAGACCATTTATCATCTTTCTTCTTCTCTGCATGTTTTCAAGGGTCTCAACATCTATACCGTATCATGGGACCAGAACGGGGGGCAGTAGCCTAAGTGTGGAGTCACCAGTATGGTGTAAAGCGGTACCATCACTTCTTGTTGTGTCAGGATCCTGATTTAAAGGCTAAACAGCTTTATGTAAAGATGTAGTGTAATATGGATGATGTAATACTAGGAATGATTCAGCAGGTGTGTGTATCCCTTTAAGAGTCTGAATATAAAAGGGAAGTTTTTCTGCTGGAGTCTTTCTCTCTCACCCATTTGATTACTGTAATTGCTGTGTATTGGGTGTTTGCTGTTTCACCACATGTATGTATTTTATTTCTAGTGTATATTTATAGATATAGTGTAATATAAACCACAATTTAAATACAAACCAGTGTACTGTATTTACTCCTGGGTGCATGCTCTGACACATTATGGACCCAGAGTGAGGAGAATCCCAGAGAGAGTTTGACCCAGAGCCAGAGTAGTTGAGGCTTGTGATTTGTTATGGTTTGAAGAAGCAGGCAACATGGCTTCCATCAACATAATGGGAAGAGGTTTAGTAGTATACCATCTGAATGAGACAAACTACCTCTCCTGGAGTCTGAAAATGGAGATGTACCTGCGAAGGGAGGAGTTGTGGATGATAGTTACTGATCCACTGCAGTCCTAATTGATGGGGACAAGATAAAGAATGAAAAAGCATTGACCAGTATAATCCTGAGTTTGGAGGATAGCCAGCTGATACACGTGACGGGCTCCAGTCTTCTAAGAAGTGCTGGGAAGATTTGCGCAGTGTACATGAGACAGACTGTGAGCAGTCACTTGTCACAAGATAGTCACTTGTCTGAAATGGTATAGGTTCTCCTGCTCGAGCAGGGGGCCTGACTAGAACACCTCCAAGGTCCCTTCCAGCTCTATTCTGTTCTATTCTAAAAAGGTCTGCCTTATGTAATTGTCCAAGTGACCTTTTCCTTCCCACGGACTTCCAGATATTTCCCTTTTTTTTCTGTACTAGGAAATGATTTCCCTTGATATTTCGATATATTTCTTCCATATAGTCGATTTTGTCCAACTCAAAACTCTTTTCCCAGCATTCTCTTTCTTGTCTTTCACTTGCTGGGGAAAAAGACTTTTTCTGGTTTTCCAAAGGAGCTAATAAGATTTTGATTGCTGCTTTGATTTGCTGTGCATTTTAATGCTGCTTGTGATGCTCAGGTCTCCACAGTGCTCCCTCTGACATTCAGAGAATCATCAGGGAAGTCAGACAGATCGTTATGATTTTCAAAGGCTAGAAGCCCACTGGGGTCCAGGGAGCAATGATGTCGCACAACTGAAGGCTGCTTTAGAAGTTGTAAAATTACGAGGGAAATCCTAGCTTTGTTTTCCAGTTTCAAATGTCCTAATTTTCTTCTCTCAGACTGGCAGGAATGGAGAAGACCATCCCTGAATCTGAGAAAATTGTCAATCAAAACAGTTTAACCACTCAAATTTTTTAACTGTGCCTAAAGAAACGCCATACTTTTATAGAATTTAGGATCGGGGCAGATAGCAATGCAACAATAAATTAAGAGGCAGAGGCCTACCTGCAGCTCAAACCATCTCTCAGAATCCAGTTATATTTCATTTCTATGTATCTTCTCTGATATAAAACCAATTCTTACTCTCTCCTGGATTCTGAAATACTACTAAGGGGGAGGGGGCTATGCATGGGGCTTTTTATTACTTTCACTTCCTCTATTCACTACAAAGTAACCTTTTGTTTATTTCCTTTGGATCTGCTAACCATAACAATGTAACCATTTGCCTTTCATCCTATGCTCCTCTGAACTTCTCCTTTACCGGCCAGCAAGAGAAAGGGGGGTGGGGAGATGCAGCATCTGGGATCTGTGTGAGGAGATGTTGAATGATCATGCCAATGGAGCCGGACTGATGTCATCTCTCCTGGAGTTGACACCTAGAAATCTGCCGGTTTGAATCACCCGGAAGAACTGCAGGGAGGGGGGGGGCTGCTTAGGGACATTTTAAAACATCGAATTGTAAGGGACTCTCTCAGATCCTGTCTATCATGCCCGCTATCAGTTTCCTTTAATAAAAGTTCCTGTTTGAAGAGATCGTTTCCAAGAGTTCTGCTTTCTTAAGATGTGAATTGAAGTGGGTCCTTACACCATCAGAGGCAGAAAATGGCTCGACTGATGTACGATTGAAACTGAAATTTTAATTTTATAACCAGGAGGGAAGCAAAGCTGAGTATTAGTTACAAGTTATTTACAGAGGTGCAGAATGCACAAGAGACTGATTACTAGTTAACAATTGTAGTGTGTTAGAAACCCACTGTATATGTGGAATCCTCATTCCTGAGCAAGAGTTGGGAAATGACTTAATATTTATTATTAAATTCATTTATTATTAAACTTAATCACTGCCTATCTCACAGTTTCAGGCAATTCTCGAGTGACTTGCCTTGCCGTAATGATCATAGCAACACTGAAAATACCTATTTTTTCCTTGTCAAAAGCTACTAATAATTCCAACATAAAGCATTTCATTAAAAAAAATGAAACATTTTCTACTGTACACTTTTCCCCTCAGGTTAAGGTGGCAAAACAGAGGTTTGTCACTCTTGTGTGACAGTGGAGACAGTATGACAAAATGGTAGCTGCTTCTACAAATCCACCGCATGGCCCACAGATGAATCCAGGACCCACTGAAAATGATAGGTGCTTCCAGGATGCAGTCATGAGGCCCAGGGATGCGTGCCCTCCCCTCCTTTCCCAACATGAGGATCAGAAAAGATAAGGAGGAGGAAGGTGCGAGTCAGTGGATCCTGGGGGAAGGAGAGGCCTGTGGTGACCCTGGGGGGAGTGGGAGGGAAATGACTGGGAGACCCTGTGGAGGAGGGAAGGGCCAAAGAGACACAAAGGATGGGAAACAGAACACAGAGTGTCTCAGAAGGTCGGGGAGGACTAGGGATGCCTGAGGCAGGCAAGCATGGCCCTGCACTAGGCCTCCAAGAGTTTTCCCCAACCCTGAGGTAGCCAGTGTTCCCCTTAGTGACTCGCATATTCGATTAATGGCTGCCATCAGGGAGATCAGGGTAGTTAAAGAAAGCAGTCTCACTTAACGGCCATTGTAGCATGCAACTGTAACTGGCAGGCCATAACAGCTGTATCTTGAAGACTACTTGTATGCTGGCTGAGGAATTCTGGGCCTCTAAATCTGGAGGAAACCAAGGCAGAAGACTGAAACTCCACATGTGGGAATTATATAATCAATTTACAAAACTACCGCCCAGAAGCCTTTTTGAGGAATTCCACTACTTCTGCAAAAGGAAATATCCAGCAACTGCTGCTGATAACAAGAAACTGGTAGTTAGCCTTTTTCCAATGTTCTTTTCTCTCCACCTACAAGTTTCTGGGATATGTTTCACTAGAAAGAATCAGACCAGAATTCAAATAATCAATTTCTCACCTACATTTTCAATGGGAGATCACAAATGAATTTCAAGCCTTTTCTAAACTCTTCAACTTTTGCCTTATGTGGGTTTCCTTGTGTGCAACAAGGGATGATTTATGAGTCAAGTAATGTCCACAGACTGGACATTTGAAAAGTTTCTCTCCCGTGTAACTGAAGCTTTTCCCACAATCAGGATATTGAAAGAGTTTCTCTCCTGTGTGAGTCCTCTGGTGTCACCAGGTTGGAATTGTGATTGAAACTTTTCCCACAGACAGGACAGTCAAAGGATTTCTCTCCTATGTGAATCCTCCAGTGTTTCACCAGGGTGGACATCTCACTGAAACATTTCCCACAATCTGGACACTGATACGGTTTTTCTCCTGTGTGTGTCCTCTGGTGTATCACTAGGTTAGAATTTTGACTGAAACTTTTCGAACTGTCCGGACACTGATACAATTTCTCTCCTGTGTGAGTCCTCTGGTGGTTCGCCATGCTGGAATTATCCCTGAAACATTTTCCACAATCAGGACATTCAAATGGTTTCTCTAGTGCACGGGTCGGCCGCGTGCGGCTCTTTGAGCCATCCCCTGCGGCTCCGGAGCCTCCCCCACCATTTTCAGAGAGAGAGACAAGGAGAGAGAGAGAAAGAGAGACACTTTCTCTCTTTCTCTCTCTCATGTGGACTTCCCCCTCGCAGGGCTACTGATTGGCCCTGAGCCCGGGTGCCCCACCCCCTGGGAGAAGGGTGGCCAGGAAGTCCCTTTCCCGAGCTGGCCCTATTTGAGGCGCACGTGGCCCCAAGATCCCCTCTGGGAGTGGCCGGCGTGAGCCTCCGCTGAGTGAGCCAGCCCTTCCACAAACCGCGGCCCCGAGGGAGAGCAGCCCCTCCGATGCCCAGCTGGCGCAACCATTGGCCAAGCAGCAGTAGAGCCGGAGACAGAGGGTCAGTGGCGGGGGGAGGGAGGGGGCTCTGAGTCCATGCAGCACTGCTGCAAAGCGACCGCAGGGCAGGTGGTGCTCCCCCCCCGGCTTACTTGTTCCAGGCAGCAGTCTCAGCTGGGGCATTGCTTCCTGGGCCATCCACAGGCCGCTCTCTGGGCAGCCGAGCCAGCCACATGTCTCCCCAGGCCAGGCCAGGCGGCAGTCATGGCTGGGGCAGCGGCCGGCATGAGCATCACTCCCTGGGAAGCCGAGCTGGCCACATGTCTCCCCAGGCCGGACCGGGTAGCAGTCATTGCTGGGGCAGCGGCTGGCGTGGGCATCGCTCCCCGTGAAGCCGAGCTGGCCAGAGAGAGACAAAGAGAGAGGAAAGGGAGAGAGAGAGAGACCCTTTTGACATCTAAAATGAAGATAACACTGCATATATCTTTTTTACCTTTATTTTATATATACACACACAAACACACACACACACACACAAATTAAAAGTAAAAAAGGATATATGCAGTGTTATCTTCATTTTAGATATCAAAAGGGTTTTGCGGCTCCCAGTGTTTTGTTTTTGGTGGGAAATGTGCCCAAGTGGCTCTTTGAGTGTTTTGGGTCGCCTACCCCTGCTCTAGTGTATGAGTCCTCTGGTGTTTCACCAGGTTAGATTTCTCACTGAAACTTTTCCCACAGTCAGGACATTCAAAGGGTTTATCTCCTGTGTGAGTCCTCTGGTGTATCACCAGGCTAGAATTATAACTGAAACTTTTCCCACAATCAGGACATTCAAAAGGTTTCTCTCCTGTGTGAATCCTCTGGTGTACCACAAGGTTGGAATTGCGACTGAAACTTTTCCCACAGACAGGACAGTCAAAGGGTTTCTCGCCTGTATGAATCATCTGGTGTTTCACCAGGGTGGACATCTGACTGAAACTTTCCCCACAATCAAGACATTCAAAAGATTTCTCTCCTGTGTGAATCCTCTGGTGTCTCATGAGGTTGGAATTCTGAGTGAAACGTTTCCCACAATCAGGACATTCAAAGGGTTTCTCTCCTGTGTGAGTACTCTGGTGTATCACCAGGCTGAAATTATCCCTGAAATCTTTCCCACAATCAGGACATTCAAAGGGTTTCTCTCCTGTGTGAGTCCTCTGGTGTATCATCAGGCTGGAATTATAACTGAAACTTTTCCCACAATCAGGACATTCAAAGGGTTTCTCTCCTGTATGAGTCCTCTGGTGTCTCATGAGGTTGGAATTCTGATTGAAACTTTTGCCACAAACCGGGCACTCATATGCTTTCTCTCCTGTATGAGTTCTCTGGTGTCTCATGAGATGGTAATTCTGACTGAAACATTTCCCACAAAGACAACATTCAAAGGGTTTCTCTCCTGTGTGAGTCCTCTGGTGTTTCATTGTGGCAATTTCTTTTCCCGCAATCTGAACACTCATACAGTTTATCCCTGGAGTGAATCCACTGATGTATCTCCAAACTGGAATTGTGACTGAAACTTTTCCCCCAGTCAGAACATTCAAAGGGTTTCTCTCCTGTCTGAGTCCTCTGGTTACTCTCTGATGTGGGTCCTTCCATGAACCTCAAGGGAGCTGTTCTGACTAAAGCTTTCAACACATTTGGATAATTGTTTTGGCTTTTCTCCAGTGTCGATGCTATCATGCATAATCTTTGATTTGCTATCTATGGCTTTCCCATAATAAGGGTATCTATGGAGATTTTCCACAGCTGATATTCTTGAGGAGGTCAAAAATATGAACAGTCCCTTGTTTAGTGGTGCTTTCATTCAAGACATTTTCTTTCTGAAAGATTGAGGCCCGCATTACTGTCTGCTCTATGCTTTCCTATTGAGCTTTTCTCCAACTGAATTCCATATATTTCCCTCTTTTACTGAATGAAAAATAATCTCTCTTGATTTTTCATGTAATAATCTACTTATTCCAATTTGAAATCTTTTTGATTTTCTCTCTTTTGTCTAACAGTTGCTGCAGGAGAATTGTGTGATTTTCTGAAGGAAATGGAAAATATTTTGATTTCTGGTTTGATTTTTTTTCCTTTTCAATGTTGCTTGTTATTCTTAGTTGTCCAGAATGCTCTTATTGACGTCCTCTTTGTCTATAAGATTCAAAGAAAAGTGTAACTTTAATTGTGTTGTCAACGCTATAAAGTAATTTCAGAAGATGTGAAAAAAGAAAGTATACATTAAAATGAAAAATCAAAAATGACACAATGCAAGAATAATCTCTTACATTATTTATGATTAATTTGACACATGGAAAACTACTGACATCCAAGTTCAAAGCTATCAAGTCGTTTTTGACTTCTAGCAACTGAGCCAAGTAAAATAATGAAATGTGATGCTACTTAGCTTGTGAAGATTAGCTATGTGCTGAGCCCTAAAAGTTCATGAAAATTTTATAAAAGTTCATGAAAATTTTACAGAATTACACTATCAGCTTTCTTAGGGGTAATTCTTGGCGGTGATCAAAACTTCTGTATACCCCAGATCTTTCACTGATTTCCTGTAGCTCCCAAACTTTTAGGACATGGCAGCATCATCAGGTGAGATGTTCTGGGGTAGCCAGCTTCACTTCTGCTGGCCAGGGCTGCATCCACGAGCACCCAGCATGTTATATCCACTAAATAATAACAATAACAACAATAATAAAGTTGGAAGGGACCTTGGAGGTTATCTAGTCCAACCCTCTGCTGAGGCAGGAAACCCTACACAAATGGCTGTCCAGTCTCTTCTTAAAAACTTTCAGTGTTGAAGCATTCACTGCTTCTGGAGGCAGGTTGTTCCACTGGTTAATTGTTCTAACTGTCAGGAAGTTTCTCCTTAGTTCTAGGTTGCTTCTCTCCTTGACTAGTTTCCATCCATTGCTTCTTGTCCTGCCTTCAGGCGCTTTGGAGAATAGCTTGACTCCCACTTCTTTGTGGCAGCCCCTGAGATATTGGAATACTGATATCATGTCACCCCTAGTCCTTCTTTTCATTAAACTACACATACCCAATTCCAGCAACAATTCCTTATGTTTTAGCCTCCGGTCCCCTAATCATCTTTGTTGCTCTTCTCTGTACTCTTTCCAGAGTCTCAACATCAGGGAAGTCAGACTGATCCTCTGTAATGTTATGATTTTCAAAGGCTACAAACCCACTGGCACAACTAATGGCTGCTTTAGAGGGAAACCTTAGCTTAGTTGTCCAGTTTGAAATGTCCCAATTTCTATTTCTAAGACTGGCAGTGATGGAGAAGACCACCCCTGAATCTGCGAAGAACGCCAATCAAAACAGATCCAGTTTAGCCATTCTAATGTTTTAACCGTGCCTTAATGAATTGTTGTATTTTCCTAGAATTTAGGACTGGGGCAGACATCAATGCAACAATAAATTACAGAGGTTGAAGCCTAACTGCAGCTCACATCACCAGAGGAAGAGAGTGGCTAGACTAATCTAGGATTGAAACTGAAATTTTAAATTTATAATCAGGGAAGGGAAGATGAGTATTATTTACAGATTGCCGTGTTTTCCTGAAAATAAGACTGGGTCTTATTCTTTTTTTGCCTCCAAAAGAGGCACCAGTTCTTATTTTCAGGGGATGTCCTTTATACTCACCTCTAGCTCCGACAGCCACGTCCAGCCCATTCACTTCTACGGCCAAAGGAGCAGCTTCATTTTTTGGGTAATATATTTTATTGATTTTTTAAAACATAAATCAATAATTGGTGAACAGTATGTTGTCTGGATTTACATTTGTAGACCAATCACTAACAATTGATTTCTATAATCCATAATCCACATAATGGTTTTAGTTGATTTCCTCTTTTCCCCAAAATATCCTCTATGGCAGGGCTTTTCAACAATTGGTACAGGTACCACCTGCGGTACATTGGCATCTGGCAAGTGGTACGTGACCATCCTAGAAAAGTAGTGGGGGAGGGGAATGAGCTGAACCAGTGGCAGCACCGCACAAGCCTGAGGAAGAGAAGGCTGGAGCTGCAGGGCTGTCAGGGCTCAGCGGAAGCACCAGGATCAATGCCGTTTTCCAGCTGATCGGCGCTTCTTCGGGGCTGTCAGGGCTCAGTGGAAGCACCAGGATCAGCCGCAGGCTCCAGCTGGAACTTGGCGCTGATCCTGGTGCTTCTGCTGAGCCCAGAAGAAGTGCCAATCAGCTGGAATGTTGCAGCATCTCCAGGGTCGTGCGATTTATATTCAGATGCTTGGCAACTGATTCGTATTTATGATGGTCGCAGTGTCCCAGGGTCATGTGAAGTGACCAACCTGCTGCAACCACCCAGCAGATGGGGAGAACAAAAACCAAACACCCCCCACCCCACCCCCATTGCCAATCCTCAACAGAAAAGCTCACAACAATGAAAACCTCGGACAGGAGAAAGAGTGCCGCCGGGTGGGCAGGCAGGTGTCTTGCTCGGCTGTGGCTTGGGGGCACTTTTTTCAGTGCCATTGTAACTTCTATGAGTCACTAAGAGAACTGTTGTAAGTCGAGGACTACCTGTACTTTATCACTTTTTCATTTTGGGGGGATGGTGTCAAGTTTTTGACACCTTGCTAGGCAACTGGTGGTACTCGAATGTTGCCATACCCTAAAAGTGGTACAATGGGTGAAAACGTTGAAAAGCCCTGCTCTATGGCAAACTTCGAATTAATACAATTCTTATTGTTTTGATAGATAACAATTAAATATATATTTTTCCCAATATTCCTAAAAATAATAATCACATCAATATAATATTTCTTTTCTATCCAATCATTCTGGTTGCCTTATCACAGATCCCATTACAGTCCTTATTTAAATTTGTTTCTCCCATAAAATTCTAAATATTCTTACTGGTTAAAATTTTCTCAAACATTAATTACATTTAAAAATTTAACTCTATTTTTTCCATATGAACCATTTTACACTTTTACATTTCTTAAGGAATAGATAAAACAGCAGGGAAAAAAGAAAGGAGAGCATGAGTAAAGAAACATAAAAAATAACATATTACTTAAAATATATATCTCTCCTAAGCTAATATATATTTGTTTCCAAGATTTCTTATTCTTTTTAAACATAATTAAAAATGTTTAATCTAAAAATGTTAAATATTCCATTTAATACATCTAATCATCTAGTCCTTTAACTCTTATTCAAAACATTTTTATCCATTATAATTTTCTTAAATTCAATCACACTTAAATATCTGAAACATTTCCTTTATCTAAGCCATTTCAACTTTTTTATATTATTCATATCAAGAAATAGAATAAAAAAGGGGGGGAAAGTATACTATGTTATTTAGGGGATTCTTAGAATGACATATATATTCCAAATCTTTTCTATTTCTTTAACCACATTCAAACAAATGTTTCTTTTTAAAATATTCTCTCTGGTAGGTCCCACCATCTATTTTCTTGATTTCCACTTTGGTCTTTTTCCTTTGCTGAGTATCTTTCTTAATCAATGTATTTTGCTGTGTCGAAAGGTTTTTCCGTATGTTCGTAAATGTTACTGTAGACATAAAAAGTAAAGATGAAGTGTCTTTGTTCAGGGCTTCTGCCTTTCCTTGTTTGTTGAAAATCTTTTTCTTTTTCTTTCTCTCGGCTTCTCTTATCATTTCCTTTCTCTCCAAAGTTCCTGACATCTCTACAGTCCATGTTATCCAATCTGTTTTCTTGTCCTCAGATTTATTTTGTAGTCTTTTTGTTTTTTCCAATTCTTGTGAATTTTTTTCCACTAGGATTAAATAATGTTTCCTTGTTTTGTTAAGTTCCATCTTTAAGTCTCTATTCTCAATTTTGTAACCATTTATCTGTTTTATCTGCTCCTTCTCTGTTGTTGTTTTCTGGGAATTTTTTTGTTGTAGAGTTAACTTGGAAATAGATTGATTTATATTTTCAAAGTTATTTTGGATTTCTTTGTGGTTTAAAACATTGTTGTTTGAATTAGTTGCAGTGTACTATATATCTCCTCCTGTGGAGTATTTATGTTTTCTTGATATGTTCTTTCTACATGTCTCTGATCCATAATAGCCAAGAATTTGAGTTTTCCTCTTCTTTTCTCTACAAATAGCTTTAGAGTCCCGATTAAATAGATATTTGTAATCCAAATAGTGCAAAAAATATTTTTTCCCCTGAAATTTATAATTCTTTCTTTGTCTACAGCCCAGATTATTGTCTCTTTTTTTCACAGCTGTTCTTTGTTGTTAAAGCTTTGAAGGTCACAAGCACAGATTAGTTTTTCCCAGGTTTTGTCAAGTCTTATATTAAAGTCATAGCTGTCATAGTCTTAATTCACCAGTAGGTGTCAGCATCAATTTGTTTTTCAATTTCCAAAATGAACAATTATCTTTAGAATGAGAGTCTTAACTAATCAACAATTTTAGATTTATCCAGAGTTAAGTTTTAAATTTCAGGTTTTATATTTATTTCACTTCCATATATTTTGATCCTCCATAAAAATATTAATTCACCGCTTCTGAATTATAAGGGTGAGGTGGAAATCCCCCTACTTCCCTTTTGGAGGTATTTTGCTTCTTGGGGATCTTTTCCAGGAAATTAAATGTAGAATAGAAAAGATCAAATTCCTCACCCAGCTTCAAGCACGCTGTTCACAGCTATGCTGGTTAGTACTTTTGGACTTCGGTTGCAAGTAGCTTGGGCTGGTCGATGAAGAACCGCCAGCCTTTCTCCTGTTAGGTTAGAACAGTGGTGGCGAACCTATGGCACACGTGGCCAGAGGTGGCACTCAGAGCCCTCTCTGTACACGCGCACAATGCCCTGGAGATGGCAACTGTCCCTCTTCAACCAGCCGCCTGCTAACTCGCTGAGGTCCCATGTGGCCAGATGCATCCCAGCATGGCTGGTTTCCCTCCCCCCCGTTCCATCCCTCCTGGCCTTGCATGCTCTCATTTTCCTGGGCAGGACCCACTGCATTGCCTCCTCAGCTGTCAGACAGCCGTTCAGCTCAGAGGCGGTTTGTCTGAACTGCTGGCAGTGGGCTGCGTAGCCCTAGAGTGTGCCGGTCAAGGAGCCGGCCAGCTGTGGCTGCTGACGGACACTGTTGGTCCCCATGTGCTTGCAGGCCTCTGTGTCTGGGGTTCGATGGTGTCCAGCAGCAGCCGCCCCGGCCCCTGCCTTGCCCTGCGACAATGGCACCTCTGCCCTGCCTCACCTTGCCTCACCTCACCCCACAGAACAAGCCTCCTGCCCACCGCCCCACCTGCCAGAGACCCCCTAGATCTCCCCCAACTCTGCCTGGCCCCCACAGGCGTCGCTTCCCACGAGCAACATCGAGTAGTATTTCCTTCTGCAAAAGGAAATATCCAGTAACTGCTGCTGATAACCAGAAATTGGTATTAAGGCTTTTTTCATTTTTGCTTTCTCTCCACTTACAACTCTAATTCTGAGTCATGTTTCACTAGAAAGTAATCAAGCCAGAATTCGAATAGTCAATTCCTCACCTACACCTCAATGAAATATCACAAATGAAATTCAAGTCGTCTATAAACTCATTTAGTTTTGCCTCATATGGACTTCATTGTGTGTAATAAAGGATGATTTATGCCTGAAGTAACATCCACAAACGACATCTGAAAGGTTTCTCCCCCATGCGAGTCCACTGATGTGTCACCAGGTCGGAATTCCGAATGAAATGTTTTCCATAATCCGGACACTAATGGTTTTTCTCCTGTGTGAGTCCTCTGGTGTCTCACCAGGCTGGAATTATGACTGAAACTTTTCCCACAGATAGGACATTCAAATGGCTTTTCTCCTGTGTGAATCCATTGGTGGTTCACCAGGCTGGAATTCTCAGTGAAACGTTTCCCACAAACAGGACATTCAAACGGTTTCCCTCTTGTGTGAGTCCTCTGGTGTTTCACCAGGTCAAAATTATAAATGAAACTTTTTACACAGTCTGGACAATGATAAGGTTTCTCTCCTGTGTGAGTCCTCTGGTGTCTCACTAGGCTGGAATTATGACTGAAACTTTTCCCACAGATAGGACATTCAAATGGCTTTTCTCCAGTGTGGATCCACTGATGGTTTACCAGGCTGGAATTCTCACTGAAACTTTTCCCACAAACAGGACATTCAAAGGGTTTCTCTCCTTTGTGTGTCCTCTGGTGTTTCACCAGGCTGGAATTCTGACTGAAACTTTTTCCACAGTCTGGACAATGATAAGGTTTATCTCCTGTGTGAGTCCTCTGGTGTAACACCAGACTGAAATTATGACTGAAATGTTTCCCACAGACAGGACATTCAAATGGCTTTTCTCCTGTGTGAATCCTTTGGTGGTTCACCAGGCTGGAATTCTCACTGAAACTTTTCCCACACACAGGACATTCAAAGGGTTTCTCTCCTGTGTGAATCCTCTGGTGTATCACCAGAGAGGAATTACGACTGAAACTTTTCCCACAATCAGGACATTCAAAGGGTTTCTCTCCTGTGTGAATCCTCTGGTGTATCACCAGGCTGGAATTCTGACTGAAACGTTTCCCACAGTCAGGACATTCAAAGGGTTTTTCTCCTGTGTGAGTCCTCTGATGTTGCACCAAGTCAGAATTATAACTGAAACTTTTTCCACATTCTGGACAATAAGGTTTCTCACCTCTGTGAGTCCTCTGGTGGTTCACCAGGCTGTTATTACGACTGAAACATTTCCCACAGTCAGGACATTCAAAAGCTTTCTCTCCTGTGTGAATCCTCTTGTGTATCACCAGGTAGGAATTCTGACTGAAACCTTTCCCACAATCTGGACACTCAAACGGTTTCTCCACAGTGTGAGTCCTCTGGTGTATTATCAACTTGCCCAGCTCGCTGTAGCTTTTGCTGCATTGGGAGCCCTGATAGAGCTCCTCTCTCTTGTGAGTCCTTCCATGAACCAAAAGTGAGCTGTTCTGACCAAAGCTTTTGGTGCATTGGGTGCATTGATATGGCTTTTCTCCAGTGTGGATCCCCTCGTGAATATTCAGCTGCGATCTACAATCTGTGCTTTTCCCACAATTGGCACATCTGTGGATCTTTTCCACCACTGATATTTTTGGATTCTCAATGACATCAAAAGTACTCTGAATCCCTTGTTGGATAGAGCTTTGATTCATGTTACTGTTTCCTTCCTCAGAGGGCAAGGCCTGCATTACGGTCTGTCTTATGTGGCTGCCCAAATGAGTTTTTCCTTTCCAGTGACTTCCAGATGTTTCCCTCTTTTTGTGAACTAGGAAATGATCCCCCTTGATGTTTTGATATCTCGCTTCCGTATACTCTATTTTGTTCAGCTCAAAACTTTTTTCCTGATTTTCTCTTCCTTGTCTGTCACCTGCTGGAGAAGAAGAATCATTAATAATGATTCATTTTCAATAAACATGTCTAGTTTCATCCAAGTTCAAATACCATTCAGTTATGAAATTTACTTGTTGAGTTGGTCCAATAACGACTTAATAGAATTGCAAAGAGTTATCATCAAATATATCTGGACATGCTGGGCACACATTATATATACACACACACACACACATATATATATATATATATATATATATATATATATATATATATATGTGTGTGTGTGTGTGTGTGTGTGTATATATATATTATATATATATATATATATAATTATATATATAATTATATATATATATAATTATATATATATAATCATATATATATATATATATATATATATATATATATATATAATTTCAGGACCACTGAAACCCTGAAGACTGAATGGTAAGCGGTAAGTGAGGATTACCTATAAAACCGAATATTCTGAACCGTATAGCTCTATGTAACCTTGTATAGCTCTTGTAACCCTAACTAGAGACCATGGGTCAGTGGGAGGAGTTTCTAAAGGGCATTGGGAGACTTCCTGGATACAAGCCAGTTTGGAATCTCTTTGTCTGAAAGAAGCATGGGCCATCAAATGTCACACAATGAGGCTGAGCCATTATAAAGATGGTATGGAGAGAGCATCATACTTTTACCTAAAGGAATGGACAAAAGATGCATTGTCAGAGACATCTGTCATGAATGCAAGTAATCTTTCTGATTAAAATATATTTTTGTTATGAAATTATTTGAGTTATCTATCTGACTTGATTTAAAAGAAGCCGTTTTTAACTCAGTCAGAATAGTAAAAGTATGCTCAGAATTCATATCAGCTTTGTTAAGGCAAATAGTAAATTGATGGGATTAATTTCCTCTGATCTGCAACAGTTTAAAGAAACAAGTCAGTGTGTGTGTTTGGCAGGCAGCATTTCAGAGGTGTGATTCAGATGCATTGTTTCGTTAATTCGCTGTTAACTCTGCAAGTAATCACTGCATGACAAAGTTTACCTGCATATTGACAAGCCTCTGCTGGCAAGGATTCATTACCAGCCAAATTCTGCATGCTAGCCAATGTTTTAAAGAAAAGTAAAAGTTATAAAGTGCCTTGTGTCTGTTTGAATACTCCTGCTAAATTACCTTTGGATCTGTCTATAAGCTAACGTTTAAGCAAGGAGATATTGTGGTGTTTATCTCACTAAGTAAAAATGGAAAATCTGCACTATTGTTTCTTGCATGTAAAGTTTGGATTCTAACACCAAAAGGAGCTTGGGCTTTATCCCCCCTCCTTTCTTTGCCATTGAATTAAACAGCCAAGGAAGGCTGATTGCCTTTTGAAAAGCCATTCTCCCCCTTGGGCCTCAGATGCCGCAACAATAAAACCATTTGTTGCTATAGTGACCCAGCATTGATGAGAGGAGTGTTCCCTTGCTTCTAAGCAATCATAGAGATTACTGCCTATGTGGCTAGACCCAACAGAAAGATGTCTTTGTTCAAACAGCTCGCTGCCAAGAACGTGTCTTTGAATTCCGTGAACAGCTAATTTGCCAAAGGAAGTGATCAGATTTAATCTTGTCAGCTAACACAGCATTGGAGAAAGAAGCTAAACTCCCTTCTTCCTTAGGAATGCTTGGAATTTCAGCCAATGTCAATGGAATAAGAAGGCATCTGGTCTCAGAGTCAATGCAGTAGCACCCCCTGGTGGCCAATCTGCACACGACATCCTGTTAAACTTGATAATTAATTCAGCACGTAGCAGGCTTATATCAAGCCAAACTAAGAGCACCCCATAGAGGGGAAGAAGATACTTCACTGCTTGCATCACTACCTACGCAGAGTAAATCTGATAGTTAAAAAGCAAGTTGCTTAAATTTATCCCAAGCTACCAATACCCCCTAGAGGGCACAGAGTGAACTTAGCCAAAGTATTCACTCACTCAAGCTGAAGACCAAGTTGTTCCAGTTTGAGGCAAATTAAGGAGAAGAAAGCAAAGCCAATTATTCTTGTTTGTTATCATAGCTGATGACCCAGGGTTCAGCCTGCAACTTAACGGTCGCCAGGTGGGAGTTTGTACCTCTACATTCTCTCAATGGCCACTAGCAGTAACATGGTAACAAGAACAATTTGGCCAGCTTTTCTTCAGAGGCCCCTAGTGTTTAAAGGAGGAACTACACGCAAGCCTTTAATCACGCCCAGAGAAAGCCCTCTAGTGGACAAAGGGTGAACCTCGAAGGAAGAGCACCCTGGTAGCTGACCCGCAGCAAAGTGACCCCTAGTGATGAAGGGGTGAACTGCGCTGAAGTACCCACAAACGCAGGAGAACGCACCCAATGGCGCCTCCAACCACAGGCAGCACCCCAGCAGCTGATCTGCAAGCAGTGACCCCTAGTGGTCAAAAAGAAAAGGTCATCTAATTTGCTTTAAAATAGCTAGGAAGTGTACTGAACCTGTCTTAGCCATGGCAGAGTGTCCTATTGATTTAGATGAAGGGGTTCAACCAACCAGCCTAGATGAGATACCCCAACCAGCCGGTCAAGGAAAAGTGCTGCAAACAGCCAACCTTGACCTGCACACAGAGGCTGTAGCTCAAACCTCAGTGAAGCCAAAGACGTCTCAGGGTCACTATGATCTGAGACAACAAAGAAAGCTTACAGAAACCATGCACTCACATCTGCTGGAAAGATGGGATTCGAACTACAAGCGCCATCAAAGATTCTGGGAGAGAGTACGCAAAGTCTACCAAGAGCCTGAACTCTCCCCTGAACGTGCGCACGCAGTGGAAGGAGATAAGGAACACGCCCTTGGGCAATGGATGGACATGCCAAATGGGCTCAATTACTATTTTTTTTAAAAAAAAAGTTCTGAGTTACGGATCGATGTGCCAGGTTAATACATGGATGGCACACCACCAAGAAATCCTGCATTTGTTTCCTAGATATGGAAGTAAAAACAAAATTCCTGAAGACAATACTGGCAGATCAGCTCCAAATTGTTGCCAAGAAAAGAACATGCCCATAAAATCAGAAGGAGCCAACCCTAATCTGAAGGAGCCTTTTAAATCTCCCAAGAAACACAGAAAAATGCAGGAACCAGTTTTAAAGCTTGCACCACCAGTGGAATAAAATCTGGGGAGGGAAGGAATGTGTAGCAGCTGACATGATTCAACCTCGTTGCTTCTCTGCTTTTACACCCCGGGGTAACCCAAGAAGCCCTACTTGCTCCCGGTCTCTCCTCCACCTGTCCTCTGCTCACCTTTCAGCTGCTGCTTTCACCCTGGGTAGACCAGAAGAACCAATCTTCCCACCTCCATCCTCCCAGCGAACAGCGGGAAGAGGAAATTCCTCTGCTGTTCTCCTCCTGTCCTTCAAATCCTCTCTAGGAATCTAAGATTCAAATGTTTCAACTCCACCTCTATTACCTGTGCTCTACTTGCAGTGACAGTTGTCTAGCTTATCTATAGTGCACCAACTAGTGAGATAAAGCTGAAAATCATGTTGGTCTGTCTCTACCTAATGCAGTTGCCAGATTTTTTTTATTATGTGTTGTCAAGTCCTTTTTGACTCCAGCAATCACATCAATAGACTTTCTCTGTGATGATTGTCCCTAATTTGTTTGTTCAGTCCTCCTGAAGATTCACTCATCACCACAGAAAACAAAGCAAGAAGCTTCCCATGCAAACGAGAACTACACCAAGGGAAAGAAGGAGGGGGGTGGTGAACGATATGCATTCAGAACAAAAAAATGCACTTCCCTTAAGGATCGGTGAAGACTGTTCCAGTCAGTTATTTGTCCTATAACAGTGATGGTGAACCTTTTAGAGACCGAGTGCCCAAATTGCAACCCAAAACCCACTTATGCATCATCAGGTGCCAGGTGGGTGTGGCCCATTGGCTGGGCGTGGCCCATTGGCTGGGGGTGACTATGGTAGTAACGGCAGACTGGGCGAGACTAAAAAGTTCAATCAATCAATTCCAACTTTGCAAGATTTTTTTCCTGCGAGAAGTTGAAATTGACTTGATTGATTGAACTTTTTTTTTTTTGCACACAGCGGTGGAGGCCTAAAGAGAAAAGGTTTTATAAAACGCAGCTGAAGGCCTAGGGTTGGGGTGACAGCGCATGTGCCCACAGAGTGGGCTCTGAGTGCTGCTTCTGGCACCCTTGCCATAGGTTCGCCACCATTGTCCTATAATATGTAGCAACTGACATGTTTCAACCTAATTGCTTCTTATGATTTTTGAACTCACCCTGTTGACCAGTCCCTCTGAGACTTAGATTGGCTTTATGTAATTTTGCTTGATATTTTTATAGTGCCCTGTGAGAGATCCTGAGGCTTTAGGATCATTGCACGGGTTTCCAGCTCCTAACCGTAACGAGACATGATAAAGATGTGCCCTAAAATACGACACTAAGGAAAAACAAAAAGGAAAATTGATTAAATATAATTTTACTATTTAAATGTTTAGAAATTTTGCGCGTGTTTCAATGTGAAATCACTTGGAACTTGAGAGTCAGGCCAAAAGAGCCTCTTGGTTTCTCCACATGCCAGGCCTGATCTGCTCCCAGTCATTGGGTGTCCTTTTGCAAAGAGAGCACATGCAATGTGACTTTCCAAAAAATAATTATAACCTTTCATTTTGAATTGTGTTTGGTGAAAGAAATAATCTTGGAATTCTTTGGCCTTTTCTAAACCGAGTAAAATCAGGATCGTTTATCTGCATAGCTAAAATGTCACTTCTGCTGCTACAAATGATGATCCTCTCTTTATTGGAAGGTATTTTTTTAAAAAAAAAATTAAGGAGCCCTGGGATAGAAGTGAAAGAAGAGGAGAGGACTCCCATGTGTTGGGAAGCGAGCTTTGCATTACCCTGTCCCAATGTTTACAGAAATGCTGACCCTTTCCTTTTTTTTTCTTTCTTAAAAAAACATTCATGATTCTTACGCAATGCTGTTTTAGAAATGAAACATTATTACTGTACAATTTTTTTCTCACATCTTCTGACCAAGGGAGAGACCACAAAAGTATCAGCCTCTTGGTGCTGTGCTCACCCCCAGCTGTCAATGGTTAAGAAGGAGGCACTTCCAAGTGAAGGAGATCACAGCAGAAATTGCTAATAAACCTGGAGATCCTGTGATCAAAACCACAATCTCGTTTCTCCTCAACTCAATATTCTTACAGCTCTTCTCCATGAAGGTCACCTGCAAGGTAGAACAGCCTTTACATCTGAAATTTTACACTGCTTTTATCACTGCCCCAAACTCCTCCAATATATTTGCTACTCATATGGTTTCTTCGACTTGCAGGCCTCATTCTTGACACAATCTGAACCAGGGGTTTTTTTTGTCATAGAACGCCCAGAACTGAGTTCCGGTATCTTTTTTGGATGGAACCTTGTAGGGTAGGCCAGGCGGGTTGTATGACGTGTGTGAGTTCCGGCACCTTTTTTATTATTATTATTACTAAGGTGACCAACCGTCCTCCTTTAGGGAGGACAGTCCTCCTTTTGTAAGTTCTGTCCTCTCTCGAAAAGTGTCCTCCTACATGTCCTCCTTTTTGATATTTGAAGACTAATCTGTAAATCTCCGTATTCGATCGATGCCGATCCGATCCGTTGCGTGTGATGTGACGTATCTGTATTTGACATGACAAGGCTCAGTACAGTGTGGCAAGACATGATTATGAGACACATGCACTCCGCACAGAATTATTTTGAGAGTGCACTGCGCGCAAGAATGTGCTGCACACAAGTGACTTCGTTTACTTCTTACCGAAACATGACACGGCACACACGCATGCATTAGACTCACTTTTTTTTCTTCAACTTATTTGTGTCCCCCTTCTCATTGTAAAAAAGTTGGTCACCTTATTATTACAAAAAAAGCACTGATCTGAACAGACATGCTTGGCGCACTGAATTCCTGGAACTGTTAGGAAAACATGAACTTTGTACCACCTCTACTTCTCTGATAGATTATTATTAATTAAAAATGAAGAGAATATTCTATTAAGAATATTCCTAAAAGAAACAGCCATTTCCCTTTGCCTAAGACAGGGGTCGGCAACCTAAAACGGTGAAAGAAACTTGGACCCGTTTCCTTCACAAAAAAAAAACCCTGAGAGCCGCAAAATGTGCGCATGCGTTCACGCATGCGCGCACACACACATAACGGGGCTTGATTGAAGAGTGGAGCCTAATATGACACATGCACCAGCTCTGCCCACGTCCAGCTCTGGTATGGACAGCTCTGCCATCCTGGCTTCTTCTCCCCTCGGAAAAGACTGCTCTCCCCCCTTTGCTGAAACGGCGAGCAGGGGGGGCTTGCCTTGGGCACGGTGGGGCTGCTGGAGGCTGAGGCCCCCAAAGGCGCGGACCAGGCTATCTTCCATAGCGGTGGGAAGGCGACCGCGGGAGCAACAGCCTGCTCATCTCCCCCGGCGGTGGCGGCGGCAACTGCGGAGCCATCTGGTGGTGTTTACACGGCCCTCCATGTGATTGAGATAGGCAGCACTGCCCCACTCCGCCCTGCCCTTGTTTCCCCGGAGCAGAATTGGGGCGGCGCCAAAGGAGCCGGCTGAAAGTGGTGCCTTGGACTACCCCTCCGAGGATGGTGCTTTGGAGAAAGGCCGGAGCACGGCACCCTTGCCAGAGAACTAGTCAGCCCCACTAAGTAACATGTGAACCCCATGCTAAGAACGGCCCTGCCTAAACTAAGCTCAATCGGACAGGAAAGTTCCAATCCGATGGAGGCTCCTGCAAAGTCAGCTCAGTCATTGGGATCACACAGTTCAGTGGGCTTCGCCCCTCCCCAAGCTATTAATTCAGAACCAGGCAGCGCTTGGCTTGCAATTGGTTGCACAAAACAGGTGGACAGGATTGCAGCCAACAAGAGTAGGACGTTAGAGCCACCAACTCTGGTCTCCACCTGGGCGGGCGGGCGAGCGAAACCCCGAAACCTTTTGCGTTCCTTTGCAAAGAGAAGACGCCGGTGGCGCATGGCCCGGGGGGGAAAGACAGCTCCGGAGGGAGGCAGCCACGCAGCCAGAAGCCAGCAAAGTTCCCTCCTGCTGCGGAGCTGCAGTGCCTGGCCCTGGGCTGACGGGCGAGGGGGTGGGGGGTATCCAGGGCCTAAAAAGTCCTCCAGGACAGGCTCGGGGCTGGCCCTCTTTCTCCGGCTGCAGGAGAAGGGGAGGCGCAGACTCTCCACCCGGGCGGGCAGGCGAGCAAAACCCCGAAAGCAGGAGGGAATCCTCCGGACCTTCGGATTTCCCAGCTTGCCAACGAGGCTTGCAAACTCGGCTCCTGGCAGGGAAGCAGCATGCTTTGGGGAAGGAGCACGGAGGCCCGCAAGCAGGCAGGCAGGCAGGCAGGCAGATGCTAGGCAGCACGAACTAAGCAGCGAGCAAAACCCTGAAACCTTTTGTGTTCATTTGCAAAGAAGCAGTGAAAGCCGGTCCAGCCAGTCGTCGGGGTGCAGAACTGGGCTGCGGATGCCAGGCCTTGCTCACCGGCAACACTGGAGCTTCCCACACCAACCAGTAGGTCTTCCGTGCCGCTCCATTGGGACCGCCAGCTTCTGGCTGCGTGGCTGCCTCCCTCTGGAGCTGTCTTCCCCCCCGGGCCATGCACTACCAGTGTCTTCTCTTTGCAAAGGAACGCAAAAGGTTTCGGGGTTTTGCTCACCCGCCCGCCCAGGTGGAGACCAGAGTTGGTGGCTCTAATGTCCTACTATCATTGACTGCAATTCTATCCACCTGTTTTGTCCAACCGATTGCAAGACGCTGGGCAGCACGAACTAAGCAGCGGCAGGAGGGACGCGAGGCCTTGGCTTGTTGCTTATCAAGACTGTGCTCAGTTCGTGCTGCCCAGCATCTTGTTCCGCCTCCGCTCAGGCCCCTTTTTCGCTGCTGGAAACATGCTGCATTAGCTGGCACCGCAGGGGGTGGTCCCATGGCAACGCTGACAGTCTGGGCTGTGCGCCATCGGTGTCTCTGGTCCCGAGCCGCGAGCCGCAGGAAATATCCGGGCCCAAGTTTTCCACTGCAAGGACACCCCAACCACGGCAGTGCTGCCAAACCGCTTTCTATGCCGCTGGCGTCGCCGGGCTGGAGCAGTGAAAGCTGATCCAGCTGGTCGTCGGGGTGCAGAACCGGGCCGCGGAGGCCAAGCCTTACTCACTGGCAATGCTGGAGCTTCTCACGCTGACCGGTAGGTCTTCTGTGCTGCTCCACTCGGACCGCTGGCTTCTTGCTACAGGGCTATCTCCCTCCAGAGCTGTCTTTCCCCCCCTCCCGTCTATGTCGAGCCCATGGCGAACAGCGTCCCACAAACCAAAGAAGTTGAACCAATCAATTCAAACTTATTTCGTGAGAAGTTTGAATTGATTGGTTCAACTTTTTAAGTCCTATTTTTTTGGGGGGCACTGCACGTGGCTGGGAGCTGCAGGAGACGGCTGAAAGAGTCGCATGCAGCTCCGGAGCCATGGGTTGCCGACCCATGGCCTAAGAAAAGCCAAGCCGAAAATAAAACCACCAGAGAGGAGGAGTTTTTTCCCCTCTTCTCTCTCTCTCACACACTTAGCAAAAGAAACAATTACAATAAGAAAAAGATAGCCCTGGGATAAACAATGGAAACTGACAGGATTACATATACAAACACACAGAAATTCATCAGAGAGATATCTTCTTTCCCTGGGGATAGGATTAACCTTTTCCTGAAGGATAAGACCAGGCTAGAAATTTAGGAAAACAAAACCCTTATAAATGTCATCAAAGTTTCAATAGCACAGAAAGATTATAAAGGTTGGGCTCAACCTATTAATCAGCTAGCTAGCCCAGAACCCATTGCTGTGTCACTACATCTTTTGGCTTCTGAATTAAAACTCCACTTTCTGGCAGCTTGCTTCACCTTGTGTCCATTTCTATCAGCGCAGACCGTTTAGTCCCAGCTGGAAAAACGAACTGGAGAATTTTCTTTCCACATCTCCTCTCATTTTCTCTTTATAGGAGGAGCCACAATCTCTAACCATAGTCTGAGTGCTCCTATCCCGAAGAGATGCTGGCTGGGGAATTCTGGGGCTGAAAATCTCGAGGACATCCAGGGAGAAGAAAGCTGGGACTCTGGACATGGCACTTCTATCATCTATCGTGATAAAAATGCAAAGAACACTCCCCAAAAGATTTTTATAGAAATGCACGATGTCTGCAAAAATAAATATCCAGCAACTTCTGCTGCTGCTGCTGGCCAGATAGCAATGATCAAATTATCAGGAAAATACTTTGTAGTCAAATTAAAGAGTTAATTTCTCAACTGGACTTACAATGGGACATTAGAAATGAAATTCAAGCCTTCTCTACACTCATCATGTGGGGCCTCATGTGGATTGTCTTGTCTTGGATAAAGGTGGAATGTTTGCTGAAGCATCGTCCACACTCGGGGCACTGAAATGATTTCTCTCCTGTGTGTATAAGCACATGATTTATAAGGCTAGTCCTAGTACTGAAATCTTTCTCACAGTCTGGACGCTCGTACGGTTTCTCTCCTGGGTGAGTCCTCTGATGTATCACCAGCTGAGAATTCCAAAGGAAATATTTCCAACAATCTGGGCACTCATATAGTTTCTTTCCTGTGTGAATCTTCTGGTGTTTCAGAAGGTGATAATTCAGACAGAATTCTACCCAACAATCTGGACAATCGTACGGTTTCTCTCCTGTATGTGTCCTCTGATGTTTCACTAGGTCAGAACCGCTGCTGAAACTTTTCACACAATCTGGACACTGATACAGTTTCTCCGCGGTGTGAGTCCTCTGGTATATCACCAGTTTGGAATTCTGACTGAAACGTTTCCCACTAACAGGACACTCAAAGGGTTTCTCTCCTGTGTGAGTCCTCTGGTGTTTCACAAGGTTGGAATCATGACTGAAACTTTTCCTACAATCAGGACATTCAAAGAGTTTCCTTTGTGAGTCTTTTGGTGTCTCATGAGGTGGAAATTTCTAATGAAACTTTTCCCACAATCAGGATATTCAAAGGCTTTCTTTCCTGTGTGAGTCCTCTAGTATATCACCTGGTTGGAATTCAGACTAAAACATTTCCCACATTCAAAGGGTTTCTCTCATGTGCATTCTGTGGTGTATCACCAGCCTGGAATTGTGACTGAAACTTTTTCCACAGTCAGGACATTCAAAGGGTTTCTCTCTGGTATGAGTCCTTCAAAGTATCACCACATTGCTGTGTTCTAAAGCATTTACCACATTGGGAAGTGGTAAATTTGTAGGGCATCTGTCCTGTGTGTGTCCTTCCATGAAGGGAGCTGTTCTGATCAAAGGTTTTTCTCCAATGTGAATCTTCTCATGCATAATCATCTGTGATTTGAAATCTGTGCTTTTCCCACAATCTCTTACCTGCTGGAGAAGGAGGAGAATAGTGTGGTTTTCTGAAGAAATGGAAGATATTTTGATTTCTGGCTTGATTTGCTTTCCTTTTTAAAGTTGCTTGTTATTCTTAGTTGTCCAGATTTTTTTTTTAAATCATTGATCATTATCCACCCTGCATATCTCTGGAAGTGCTAGGTATAGATTATATAGTTGTAGATATATCCATACAGAGAGAAATACATATGTACGTATGTACACACCTATAAAGGTATATATGTGGAAAATCCATGTTTTTCAAGCCTGTAAAATGTCCCAAAATAGTTACAGTCAAATTTTCTGTGCTGATTTGGAGATGTTTTATTTTGGAAGAGTTTTAACTGATGAAATGTTACCTCGTGGCTGTGCAAGATTTGAAGCACCAGTTTTGTTCATAGAAGTCCTCAGTTACAAATAGGATCAAAAATCACTATCCACAAATATTCTGGTGACATCCCAATTCAAGAAGTCCTCACTTACTAACCACACTTGGGACTGGCTTCAAAGTCACTAAGCAGCCTGATCATTCAGCATATCACATGACAGTGCCAACTTACATCTGTTCCTCTGGAGTTGTTAAGAAAATCAGGGTGGGTTGTTAAAAGCAATTTCACTTGACTGTCACCTGCAACTTCCTGTTGGCATCTCCACTGATTTGCTTGTTATAATTTGAGAAGATCACAAATAGGGATCATGAGTGTGTGGGATGCTGCAACCATCATATATGTATTGGTTGGCAGTACCCAAATTGGTGCAACTCCTTTTTCTGCACCTTCAAAATCACGGGTATTACTGACGTGTGGTTACTGAACAAGTGCTATGATGACCACAAATTTGTGGACCAGGTGTACGTCTGCTTTTACACTGTCATTGTAACTCTGAAGGCTCAGGGAAGAAATGGTAAGCGAGGACTGCCTATACAACTGAACATCCCAAAGGCGCTCAATTTTAAAAAAAGTGCTGGATTAAGCACAATTGAAACTGGTTAATATACTGATGGGGCACCAATAGGAAATACTGTGCTTGTTGGCAATACAGGGAAGTAAAAAAGCAAAAATGCCAGACAAGTGCAGTGGCAGATCACTCCAATATTGTTACTAAGAAGATAGCAAGCCCATAATAGAATAACAGAGTTGAAAGGGACTTTGGAGATCTTCTAGTCCAATCCTATGCTCAGGCACAAGACCCGATAACCATTCCAGACAAATGGCTGCCCAATCTTGTCTTAAAGGTTCCTGATGAACCTAGGTGACAACTTTGTCATCCAAAAGGTAGAAGACGAAACTAGGATGTCTCTTATAGCAGTGGTTCTCAACCCTTTTAAGAAGAATCAACCTTCACTAGAAGGAGACTTTTTAGATCTTCCCATCAGCAGAAAATTGCAATCCTAAGTTTCAAAGCATGCAGAACAGTGGACTTAAATTTGGGGAGGGAAGGAAAATGCAGCAGCAGCCGACATGTTTCAGCCGAATTGCTTCTCTGCTTCCACGCAGTGGAGGAAACCAATCAGCCCTACTCGCTCCCGGCTTCTCCTCCGACCTGCCCTCAACTCACCTTCCAGCTGCTGCTTCAATCCTTGGAAGAGCACAAAAGCCGCTCTCCACAACACCTTCCTCCCATGAGTGATGCGGAAGAGGAAGTTCCTTTGTGCTTCTCCTCTCCTCCCTACCTTTCTAGCAATACAGTACTCGATGTTTTTAACTCCTTTAAGATCAGTCAGTCGCGGGTTCTTGTATTTCTAGGCCACGGGACTTCAAACTTGGCCCTTTTATGACTTGTGGACTTCAACTCCCAGAATTCTTTAGCCAGCGTGCCTGGCTGAGGCATTCTGGGAGTTGAAGTCCACAAGTCATAAAAGGGCCAAGTTTGAAGACCCCTGTTCTAGGCACAGATTTTGCCTCTTTGGCCACCATCTCCGGATAGGTTGTGGCAAAACATACTGGTTCTGTCTCTACCTAAAGTATTTGCAAGATGTAGAGAGTTAGCTGCCTGAGCAGGGGGTTGGACTTGATGACCTCCAAGGTCCCTTCCAACTTTATTATTATTAGATGTTTTCCATGATTAAAAGCTATCAAGGCGGGTTTTTTGACTTCTAGCATCTGACCTTTGCAACTGAGCCACGTGAAATACGAGAAATCTGATGCCAGTTAGCCTGTGAAGATTAGCTATGTACTGAGTCCTAAATGTTCACAACAGTTTTACAGAATTACACAATCAGCTTTCTTAGGGTTGACTCTCAGTAGAGATCAAAACCTCTCTACACCCCAAATCTTTATGACCGATTTCCTGTGGCTCCCAAGGATTTAGGACATGGCAGCAGCATATGGCCAGATGATTCAGGGGAATCAGCTTCACTCCTGCTAGCCAGGGCTGCATCCAAGAGCAGCGAGCATGCCTCTTCATTCCTGAAGGAGGAAATTTTATACCTGCTAAATGCCTTGTGCTTCTGTAAATTTGCTTCGACGGAAGTCTCCAGTAGGTCACACAGAGAGAAAAATATGCAGCAGGGTTTTAAAAATGGGGCCTAAGAAAGAGGGGCCAATTGTTTATATTTGGTAGAACAAATGTTTCAAAAAAAGGTTTGTAAAAAAAAGAGAGGCAAAAATAGACTAGCCCATCAAGCCCATCAGGCTAACCTTTTTGGAAGGACACCCTACAATGCCATTTTTAATACAGATTTAATAAGGTATGGATGGTGATGATAGTGGCTATTGGCTCTCAGCTCTGTTGTGTGGAGAAATCTGGAAGAATAGAATAGAATAGAATAGAATAGAATAGAATAGAATAGAATAGAATAGAATAGAATAGAATAGAATAGAATAGAATAGAATAGAATAGAATGCAAGATAAAAATAAAGCATATGTGTGCTTGCTCATGCATGCACACACTTTGTGACAATAAGGTCTGAGCCTGCATAAATGGTTGACCACTTATTGCTATTTATGTACAAATACAGATATGAAAAGGGAATTGATGAGGAATGAAATAGGATGAAAAGAACAAGAGGTGTAGAAAGGAAATTTGGTGACAGATGAAAAGAAGGGAGGGAGGAGAGTTGGGAAAAGAGAGATATGTTTAAGATAATGGGGCATTCACAAAAGAGGGAACGTTATGGAGATAATTTTGCGAATGCTATGGAGATACAGCATGTTACAAGAATGGAAGAAGGCTATGTTGGATAGAAAGAGTAAAAAAAGAAAGGATATACATACTTAGTTGAGTAAACCGGACTAATGGAACAGAAAGAAAGCTTACTAGGGCTTCCGCTTTAGAACCGCAACACGTAAGGCTTCCAGTAACACAAAAAATGAAGTATTTCAGATTTGCATGACCCACCCACCCCTTTTTCAGCAAATGGTACGGCCACCTGTTTGGAAGCCCAGCGCAACCAAGACGAGCACTTACCACACCGATAGGCAAAAAAAGAGATCCAACAGGCCTCCATGGCCATGGATCCGGGCTCTGGAGGCTTGGAAAAGGCCTCTGGAGCCCGGATCGGGCCGCTGGAGGCTGCAAAATCGCTCCGCAGCCATGGATCTGAGCTCGGAAAACTTGGAAAAGGCCTCCGGAGCCTGGATCAGCCGTGGGGGGTAGGCACGAAATTGCTCTGCAGACATACCTGGACTCGTGCTGGCAGCTTCCGTTCAAAAAAAGGTGCTTGCGTTGTATGACAAAAAAAGCCCTGCCTCCACCATCCAGCCCGGATCTGCCCAGCTCTTGCAGCTGCTCCCTGACTCCCAGTGCAGAGAGAAAGAGAGTGAGAGCGCTGGCACAGGTGGAGAGGCGGAGGGCAGCGGCCCAGCCCCGCATCCCTCTGGGGTGATGGCGCGCATGCCCACAGGGACGGCTCTGTGTGCCGCCTGTGGTACGCATGCCATAGATTCACCACCACCGCCCTAAAGCAAAAAGAATTCTGGACAAAAATACATAGCTGGCTAGAGAAGATGTCAGGAAAACATGTAGACTATAAACCGGAACTATTTCTTTTAGGTATAACTTCAGAAAACCATGATAAAGAATGTGTATATTTAACATTACATGTACTAAGAGTAGCGAGAATTACTTTTGCCCAGCATTGGAAAAATGAAGAAAACGCCATCTGAAGAAGATATAATTAAGAAAATTCTAGACTGTGCAGAAATGGACAGGCTTACATTGAAAATGAAAGGGAAACAAGATTCAGAATACTTTCAAACATGGGATAATTTTTATAAATGACTAGAAAAACAGAGTAAAGAATAAGAATGGAAACTGTATTATTATTAATGTTAAATATGTGAACCCAGACAATGCATTGCTGACTAGGTACTAAAGATTGTTATTGTAAAAAATCAATTTTATACACAGACACACATGAGAAATGCTGGCACTTTCCTTTTTTTTCTTTCTCAAAAACTATTCATCAATCTTACACAATGCTGTTTTAGAAATGAAATATTTTGTTTCTCACATCTTCCGACCAAGGGAGAGACCACAAAAGTATCAGCCTCTTGGAGCTACGTTCACCCCTCCAGCTGTAAAAGGCTAACAAGGAGGCACTTCCAAGATAAGGAATTGCTAATAAACCTGGAGATCCTGTGATCAAAACCACAATCCCTTTTTTCCCCAACTCAATATTCCTACAGCTCTTCTCCATGAAGGTCACTTGCAAGGTAGAACAGCCTTCACATCTGAAATTTTACACTTCTTTTTTGTCACTGTCCCAAAGCTCCCCCAATACATTTGCTACTCATATGGTTTCTTCGACATGCATGCCTCATTCTTGATACAATCTGAACAGACTTCCTTGGTGCACCAAATTCCTGGAACTGTTAGGAAAACATGAACTTTGAACCCCCTCTACCTCTCTTCTCCTCTTGTTTCTCCTTATATGAGAAGCTACAACCTCTAACTATAGTCTGAGTGCTCCTATCCCAAAAAGATGCTGACTGGGTAATTCTGGAAAATCTTGAGGGCAGCCATGGAGAAAGCTGGGACTCTGCACATGTCATTTCTAGCATTTATCAATAGTAAAATGCAAAGAATACTCCCAAAAAGATTTTTACAGAATTGCCCAGCTTCTGCTGCTGATGGCCAGATAGCCATGATCCAACTAATATGTTCCATTCTTTCCTTTTCAGGCAAATTTTTTGTAGTCAAATTAAATACTCAGTTTTCTCAGCTGGACTTACAATGGGACATTAGAAATGAAATTCAAGCCTTTCTACACTCATCACTTTGGGCCTCATGGATTTTCTTGTGTGCAACAAGTATGGAATGTTTCCAAAAGAACCGTCCCCAGTCAGGGCACTGAAATGATTTCTCTCCTGTGTATATAAGCACATGATTCATAAGGCTAGTCCTAGTACTGAACTCTTTCCCACAGTCTGGACACTCGTACGGTTTCTCTCCTTTGTGAGTCCTCTGTGTATTACCAGCTGAGAATTCCAACAGAAACTTTTCCCACAATCAGGACATTCAAAGGGTTTCTCTCCTTTGTGAGTCCTCTGGTGTATTACCAGGTTGGAATTCTGACTAAATTTTTTCCCACAAAGAACACATTCAAAGGGTTTCTCTCCTGTGTGAGTCCTCTGGTGTTTCACCAAGCTGGATTTCTGACTGAAACTTTTCCCACAATAAGAACATTCAAACAGTTTCTCTCCATTGTGAGTCCTCTGGTGTCTCATGAGATTAGACTTTTGACTGAAACCTTTCCCACAATCAGGACATTTAAAGGGTTTCTCTCCTGGGTGAGTCCTCTGGTGGTGTATGAGGTGGGAATTTCTAATGAAACTTTTGCCACAGTCAGCACATTCGAAAGGTTTGTCTCCTGTGTGTGTTCTCAGATGTCTCACGAGGTGAGAATTTCTAATGAAACTTTTCCCACAATCTGGGCACTCATATGGTCTCTCTCTGATGTGAGTCCTCTGATGTATCACCAAGTTGCCATACTCACTAAAGCATTTACCGCATTAGATACACTTATAGGGCTTCTCTCCTATTTGGGTCCTTCCATGAACCACAACGGAGATGGTCTGACCAAAGCTTTTGCCACATTCAGAGTATTTGTATGCCTTTTCTCCAGTGTGGATCCTCTCATCCATAATGAGATTTGCAAGTTTTATCTTTCCCACAATGGGTACATCTATGTAGTCTTTCCACCACAGATATTTTTGTGGGGGTCAAAAATATGGATGATCCCTTCTTTAGTGGTGTTTTGATTCAAGCAGTTTTCTTCTTCCCAGAGCCAGGCCTGCATCAGTATCTGCCATACTTGGCTTTCCAAATAACATTTACCTCCCCACTGACTTCCAGATGTTTTTCTCAATGGAAAAATAATCTCCCTTGACTTTTCATGTAATGTATTCATATAATGTATCCATGTGCTCTACTTATTCAGTTGAAATCTTTGATTTTCTCTCTCTTTTTCTAACAGCTGCTGGAGGAGGAGGAGAATTGTGTAGTTTTCTGAAGGAAATGAAAATCCTTTGATTTCTGGCTCGATTTTCTTTCCTTTTCAATGTTGCTTGTTATTCTTAGTTGTCCAGAGTGCTCTTCTTCCCATCTTCTTTTCTATAAGATTCGAAGAAAAGTGTAACTTTAATTGTGTACAACATGGTTTCATAAAGTATATATTACAATAAATGAGCAAACATGCCACAATGCTAGCATAATCTCTTACATTATTTATGATTCATTTGACACATGGAATACTACCAACATCCATGTTCAAATATCTATTCAGTCAAATTCAGTTGATCTGGGTCAATCACAAATTCTTAGCACTGCAAAGGGTTATCATCAAATACATCTAGAAGTGATGGGGATAGATTATATAATTGCAGATATATGAATGCAGAGAGAAATACACATACATACAATTACAAATGTATATATGTCTTTCAAGCCTGGAAAAATGTCCCAAAATGGTTACAGTCAAAGCTTTTGAGCTAACTTTAGAGATGTGGTGGCTTTAACTGATGAAATAATGCCTAAAGCCTCTGCAAGATTTGAAGCACCAGGTTCGCTCATGGAAGGCCTTACCTACGAATAAGGGCAGAAAATACTGCCCACAACTACTCTGGTGACATCCCAATTCAAGCAGTCTTCATTTACTGACTGCAATTGGGATTGGCTTTTGTGTCACTTAAGCAGCCTGATCATTAAGCATGATGTCACATGACAGTGCCAACTTACACCTGTTTTTCTGCAGTTTGTAAGAAAATCACTGTAGGTTGTTAAAGGTGATTTTATATGACTGTGACTTGCAATTTCCTGCCAGTATACCCCTTGGTTTTGCTTGTCAGAATCTAGCTGGGAAGGTCACAAATGGGGATCATTGAGTGTGGGATGCTGTAACCATCATAAATGTGCATCAGTTGGCAGAACCCAAATTGGTGCAAATTGGTCCTTTTCCTGCACCTTCAGGAACTGTTGACGTGTGGTCACTAAACAAGCACTATGATGGTCACAAATTTGCAGACCAGGTTTATGTCTGCTTTCACAGTGCCATTGTAACTCTGAAGGCTCATGAAAGAAATGGTAAGTGAGAAGTACCTATATAAAACGAGCATCCCCAAAGGTCCTCAATAGGTATTTTTCAAAAGAGCTGGACTGAGCACAGTTGGATCTGTTTAATACATGGATGGGGCACCCATAGGAAATAATGTGCTTTTAGGCGATTAATGGAAATAAAAAAACAAAACTCCCAGAAAACTGCAGTGGTAGATCAGTCCAATATTGTTGCCATGAAAACAGCAAGCCCATAATAGAACAACAGAGTAGGTGGTTGCAATAGAGAAGATCTCCAAGGTTCCTTCCAACTCTGTTACAAACCTTCAGTGATGGAGCACCCGCAACCTCTGGAGCAATGGTTCTCAACCTTGGCAACTTTAAGACTTGTGGACTTCAATTCCCAGAATTCTGGGAGTTGAAGTCCACAACAACCTTTAACAACCTACAGTGATTTTCTTACAGCCAGCTTTGCTGGCTGAGGAATTCTGGAAGTTGAAGTCCACAAGTCTTAAAGTTGCCAAGGTTGAGAACCCCTGCTCTGGAGGGAAGCTGTTCCCAAGAAATCAAGCTTCACTTGAAAGAGACTTTTGAAATCTCCTCACCAGCAGAAAATTGCAGCCACCACTTTAAGAGTGTGCAGCACCAGTGGAGTTAAAAGTTGGGGAGGGAAGGGAATGGCAGCAGCAGCACCTGAGATGCTTCAGCCGCGTTGCTTCTCTGCTTGGACGCCCTGGAGGAAACCAAAAAGCCCAACTTGCTCCCTAGCTTCTCCTCCAACTTGCCCTCCACTCACCTTCCAGCTGCCGCTTCAACCTGGGAAAGAATACAAAAGCCCCTCTGCACACCACCTTCCTCCCATGAGTTCCTTTGCACTTCTCCTCTCCTCCCCATCCTTTCTAGCAATGCAGCACTCAATGGTTTCAACTCGTTTAAGCTCAACTACAGAAACCGCCCACTGTATTGTCCGCTTTCTAGGTACAGTTGTTGCCTGTTTGACCAGGGATAGTTGGTGGAGAAACACGCTTGTCCTGTCTCTACCTAAGGCAGGGGTAGGCAACTTGGCTCTTTTATGACTCGTGGACTTCAACTCCCAGAATTCCTGAGCCAGCCATGCTGAGGGGAAAGGGAAAGGTTTCCATGCTGAGCCATGCTGTAGATGTTTGCTGATTCATTATTTGATGATGATGATGATAATAATAAATAAAGTTGGAAGGGACCTTGGAGGTCATCTAGTCCAACCCCCTGCTCAGGCAGGAAACCCTATACCATTTCGGACAAATGGCTGTCCAGTTTCTTCTTAAAAATTTCCAGTGTTGGCGCGTTCACCGCTTCTGGAGGCAGGTTGTTCCACTGGTTAATTGTTCTAATTGTCAGGAAGTTTCTCCTTAGTTCTAGGTTGCTTCTCTCTTTGGTTAGTTTCCACCCGTTGCTCCTTGTCCTGCCTTCAGGCGCTTTGGAAAGTAGCCAGGTTCTACATTTAGACAAGAAAAAACAAATGTACAGGTATAGTATAGGGGGTACCTTGCTCAGTAGTAGTAACTATGAGAGGGATCTCGGAGTCCTAGTGGACAATCATTTAAATATAAGCCAGCAGTGTGCTGCAGCTGCCAAAAAACCAACCAATACTTCACATGAAGTATTAATACCACTTTACAATGCCTTGGCAAGGCCACACTTAGAATACTGCATCCAGTTTTGGTCACCACGATGTAAAAAAAATGTTGAGACTCTAGAAAGAGTACAGAGAAGAGCAACAAAGATGATTAGGGGACTGGAGGCTAAAACATATAAGGAATGGCTGCTGGAATTGGGTATGTCTAGTTTAATGAAGAGAAGGACAAGGGGGGACATGATAGCAGTGTTCCAATATCTCAGGGGCTGCCCCAAAGAAGAGGGAGTCAAGCTATTTCCCAAAGCGCCTGAAGGCAGGACAAGAAGCAATGGGTGGAAACTAACCAAAGAGAGAAGCAACCTAGAACTAAGGAGAAACTTCCTGACAGTTAGAACAAGTAAGCAGTGGAACAACTTGCCTCCAGAAGCGGGATGGTGATATATTGACTAAAAAGTCCTAGGGTTGAGAAAAAGGTGAAATATTTGGGGGTTATGTTAACAAACTCAAACATAAAATTGTTCAAAAAGAATTATGTGCCTCTCTGGAATGGTATTAAAAAAGATTTACTAAGATAGGATAAATGGCATTTATCACTACTGGGTAGAATTTCTGTAATCAAGATGAATGTTTTACCAAAGTTGCTTTTCCTGCTTCAAACATTACCAATACTTGCAACTGATATTCTGTTTAAACAATGGCAGAGGGATATTTCAAAGTTTATATGGCAGGGGGGAGAAACCGAGAATCAGATATAAATTATTGCAAGATGCTAAGGAAAGGGTTTTGGGTTTACCTGATTTAAAATTGTACTTTAATGCTTGTTGTTTGGTTTGGCTAAAAGAATGGGTGAACATTCAGAATAAGAGGTTATTGGACCTAGAAGGCCATGAATTATGGTTTGGCTGGCACAGTTACTTCTGGTATGACAAAGTTAAAGTAAATATTGATTTTAATCATCATTTTGTCAGACGTGCCATTTTGAGAGTTTGGAATAAATATAAAACAAGTACGAAGAAGAAGGCTTTTTTTAGAAAGGAGATGGTGATGAGACCGAATTGATGGACCTATGGTAAAATAATACCTTTTAATTTTGGCAAGCCTCCCCTCAATCCGAGGAGTTAGAATCAAAAGGTCACGTCTGCCATTGGTTTACATATATGCAATTGAAAGAAAGATTTAAACTAAACAAAAAGAATCATGGATTTAGTTTTGTTAAAAACGAGTTGTGTGGCAGTGATGAACATATTATTGCTAAAGTTTATAAAAGGTTATTGAATTTAAATCTGGAAAATGAACAAGTAAAACATTGTATGACTCAATGGGCAAGGGATTTTGGATATAATGTAGTGCTTGAACAATGGGAGAATGTGTGGAATAAAGGATTAAAATTTACATTAAACTATAACTTAAAAGAAAACTTTTACAAGACGATGTACCATTGGTATTTAACATCAGGTAAGTTATTAAAAATGTATGAAGGCTTTTCAGATGAATGTTGGAAATGTAAAAAGGGGATTTTTTATGGTGGACGTGTGATAAAGCAAGAAAATATTGGAGCAGGATTCATACGTTAATACAGAAAATTCTTAAAGTGGATCTAGAAAGAAAACCAGAGACCTTTCTATTGGGGCTAATGGACAAAGATCTGGAAAAAAAATATGGAACTTTGATACTATATATGTTGGCAGCAGCAAGATTACTCTATGCTCAGAAATGGAAGACTATATCGATTCCCACAACGGAGGAATGGTTACAAAAAATGATGGAACTAGCAGAGATGGCTAAATTGACTGTACTGATCAAAGAAAAGAATACAAATACTTTTATTGCTCTGGAGAAACCCTACTGGACATTGTGCCTGAGGTGGAAAAAACTGAAATTTTGATTTTGGGCATTACCGATTAGATAGTTTTGTTGTTATCAAAATAGCTAGTTTATACTATTTTGTAAAAGTAAAAAGTTGAGGTTTGATGCTTGATACTCTATTTTACTGCACCAAAGGAAGTCAGAAGTCAATGCCTTCTTTTTTCTTTTTGTTCCCTTCCCTCACTTTTCCCTTTCCTTTCCCCTTCCCTCTTTCCCGCTATATACTTTTGTATTTTCTTTGTATCGTATACAATAAACCAATAAAACTTTAATATGCGGAAAAAGAAGACTGAAGCGCCACATGTGGGAATTCAATAATCAATATACAAAACTACCACTCAAAAGTCTCTTTGAAAAACTCCACAACTTCTGCAAAAGAAAATATACAGTAACTGCTGCTGATAACAAGAAACTAGTAGTAGGACTTTTTCCATTTTTGTTTTCTCTCCATTTACAAGTCTAATCCTGAGACATGTTTCACTAGAATCACCCCCAGATTCAAATAGTCAATTCCTCACCTACACATTCATTCAGATATCACAAATGAAATTCAAGCCTTCTATAAACTCAACTACTTTTGCCTCATATGGACTTCCTTGTGTGCAATAAGGGATGATTTATGTGTGAAGTAACGTCCACAAAATGGACATCTGAAAGGTTTCTCTCCTGTGTGAATCCTCTGGTGTATCACCAGGTTGGAATTCTGACTGAAACGTTTCCCACAATCCAGACATTGGTATGGTTTCTCTCCTGTGTGAGTCCTCTGGTGGTTCACCAGAATGGAATTTTCACTAAAACTTTTCCCACAGACAGGACATTCAAAGGGTTTCTCTCCTGTATGAGTCCTCTGGTGTATCACCAGGTTGGAATTCCGACTGAAACATTTCCCACAATCCGGACACTGATACGGTTTCTCTCCTGTGTGAGTCCTCTGGTGGTTCACCAAGCTGGAATTCTCACTGAAACTTTTCCCACAGACAGGACATTCAAAGGGTTTCTCTCTTGTGTGAGTCCTTTGGTGGCTCATCATGTGGGAATTCTGACTGAAACTTTTCTCACACACAGGACATTCAAAGGGTTTCTCTCCAGTGTGTGTCCTCTGGTGGCTCACTAGGCTGGAATTTTGACTGAAAGTTTTCCCACAATCTGTACATTCAAAGGGTTTCTCCCCTGTGTGAGTCCTCTGGTGGTTCACCAGATTGGAATTCTTACTGAAACATTTCCCACATTCTGGACATTCAAAGGGTTTTTCTCCTGTGTGAGTCCTCTGGTGTATCATCAAGCTGGAATTACGACTGAAATTTTTCCCACAGTCAGGACATTCAAAGGGTTTTTCTCCTGTGTGAGTCCTCTGATGTTTAATCAGATCAGAATTACAAGTGAAACTTTTCTCACAGTTTGGACACTGATACAGTTTGTCTCTTGTGTGAGTCCTCCGGTGTTTCATGACGCTCTTATTATGACTGAAATGTTTCCCACAGTCTGGACATTGAAAGGGTTTCTCTCCTGTATGTGTCCTCTGGTGGCTCATCAGGTCAAAATTGTAGCTGAAACTTTTCCCACAGACAGGACATTCAAAGGGTTTCTCTCCTGTGTGAGTCCTCTGGTGGTTCATCATGTGGGAATTCTGACTGAAACTTTTCCCACAGATAGGACATTCAAAGGGTTTCTCTCCTGTGTGTGTCCTCTGGTGGCTCACCAGATTGGAATTTTGACTGAAACTTTTCCCACAATCTGGACATTCAAAGGGTTTCTCTCCTGCGTGAGTCCTCTGGTGTATCATCAGGCTAGAATTACGACTAAAACTTTTCCCACAGTCAGGACATTCAAAGGGTTTTTCTCCTGTGTGAGTCTTCTGGTGTTTTGCCAGGACAGAATTACAACTGAAACTTTTCTCACAGTCTGGACACTGATATGGTTTCTCTCCTGGTGTATCACCAGGCTGGTGTATCACCAGGCTGAAATAGTGACTGAAACTTTTCCCACAGACAGGACATTCAAATGGCTTTTCTCCTGTGTGAGTCCTCTGGTGTTTCACTAGGCTGTTATTATGACTGAAACTTTTCCCACAGTCACAACATTCAAAGGGTTTCTCTCCTGAGTGAGTCGTCTGGTGGCTCATCAGGCTGGAATTATGACTGAACCTTTTCCCACAGTCAGGACATTCAAAGAGTTTTTCTCCTGTGTGAGTCCTCTGGTGTTTCACTAGGCTGTTATTATGACTGAAACTTTTCCCACAGTCACAACATTCAAAGGGTTTCTCTCCTGAGTGAGTCGTCTGGTGGCTCATCAGGCTGGAATTATGACTGAACCTTTTCCCACAGTCAGGACATTCAAAGAGTTTTTCTCCTGTGTGAGTCCTCTGGTGTTTCACCAGGACAGAATTACAACTAAAACTTTTCCCACAGTCTGGACACTGATATGGTTTCTCTCCTGTGTGAATCCTCTGGTGTATCACCAGGCTGGAATTACGACTGAAACTTTTCCCACAGATAGGACATTCAAATGGCTTTTTTCCTGTGTGAGTCCTCTGGTGTTTCACCAGGCTCATATTATGACTGAAACTTTTCCCAGAGTCAGGACATTCAAAGGGTTTTTCACCTGTGTGAGTCCTCTGGTGGCTCACCAGGCTGGAATTCTTACTGAAACTTTCACTACATACTGCACATTCAATAGGTTTCTCCACAGTATGAGTCCTCTGGTGTATTATCAGCTTGTCCTGCTCGCTGTTTTTTTGCAGTATAGGGAGCCCTGGCAGGGCTCCTTTCTGGTGTGAGTTCTTCTGTGAAACACAAGGCAACTTTTCTGACCAAACTTTTGCTGCATTTGGTGCACTGATATGGCTTTTCTCCATTGTGGATCCTTTGATGAATATTCAGCTGTGATCTACACTCTGTGCATTTCCCACAATAGGCACATCTGTGTACTCTGAATCCGTTATTGGATCGAACATTAATTCAGGCTACTGTTTCCTTTCTCACAGGGCGAGGCCTGCATTACTGCGGCTGTCCAAGTGACCTTTTCCTTCCCACTGATGTCCAGAGGTTTCCCTCTTTTTCTGAACTTGGAAATGATCACCCTTGTGATTCTCAGTTCTCCAGAGTCCTATCTTTGGCATTCTGTTACCTGTAAGATTCACATAAAAGGGTTAGTTTAATTATGGTTTATAAAATGGCTGCACAACATTTGAAAAAAAAAACAGATCCAAAAGCATACTTTACAATAAAAAGCAAAGACGGCAAAATGCTAACTTAACCTCTTACATTAATAATGATTCATTTTCAAAAAACATATCTAGTGTGATTCAACTTCTAATATTCATTCAGTTATGAAATTTATTTGTTGATCTGGGTGAATCATGAGTTAATAGAATTGTAAAGAGTTATCAAATATATCTGGATGTGCTGGGGACACATTATACATATACATATATATGTGGGTACACTTATCTTTTTTGGCCTAATTTTAGAATGATGGGGGGGATGTTAACTGATGAAATGATCCCAAGATCCTCGGCAGATTTAAAGGACGGTTTTGCCCTTGGAAGTCCACTGCCCCAAATAAGAAAAAGGCAAGAAACGCTGTCCAGAGCCATGCTGATGACATCCCAATTCAGGTAATCCTCACTTACTGAAAGCCATTGGGACTGGTAAGTCCATTCCTAAATGGTGTGATCATTAAGTATGACATCACTTAACTATGTCAACTTACAGCATCCTTTCTGGCTGCGGTCATTAAGTGAATCACCGTGGTCTGCTTAGTGCAATGACTGAGACTTGCAACTTCCTGTCAATTTCCAATTGATTTTATTTGTTGGAAGCCAATTATGAATGTTCCAAATAGAAAGTCTATGACTGTAGAATACCACAACCCTCGTGAATGCAAGCCAGTGCCATCCCTAAGTAAATGGGATGGCCACAACTTTGAGGAACAGTTGTAAGCCCTTTTTTTCAGCACCGATGAAACTCTGAAGACTGAATGGCAAGCGGTAAGTGAGCATTACCTATAAAACTGAAAATGCCAAATGAACCCAATTATTTTTTTTTTTAAGTTCTGGCTTATGCAGAGATGTGCCAGGGTAATACATGGATGGCATACCACCAGGAAATCCTGCATTTGTTTCCTAGATATGGAAGTAAAAGCAAAATTCCTGAAGACAGCACTGGCAGACAGGTTCCAAATTATTGCAAAGAAAAGAACATGCCCATAAAATCACAAGGAGCCAACTCTAACACGAAGGAGATTTTTTAAATCTCCCAAGAAACACAGAAAAACGCAGGCACCAGTTTTAAAGCTTGCACCACCAGTGGAATAAAATCTGGGGAGGGAAAGAATGTGTAGCAGCTGACATGTTTCAACCTCGTTGCTTCTCTGCTTTTACACCCCGGGGTAACCCAAGAAGCCCTACTTGCTCCCGGACTCTTCTCCACCTGTCCTCTGCTCACCTTTCAACTGCTGCGTCCACCCTGGGAAGACCAGGAGACCCACCCTCCCCGCCTCCATCCACCCAGCGCAGAGCCGGAAGAAGTAGTTCCTTTCCTGTCGTCCTCTTTTCCTCCAAATCCTCTCTAGGAATCTAAGATTCGAATGTTTCAACTCCGTTCGCCTCAGTTACCAATGCCCTACTTGCAGTGAGAGTGGTCTAGCACCTATTTGTAGTCCGCCATCTAGTGACCTAAAGCTGAAAATCACGTTGCTCCGTCTCTACCTAAGACAGTTGCCAGATTTATTTTTATTGATTAGGTGAGGTCAAGTCGTTTTCGGCTCCAGTGATCACATCGATAGACTTTCTCCATGATGATTATCCCTAACTTGTTCTTTCAGATTTCTCGAGGATTCACTGATCATCAGTGAAACAGAGCAAGAAGCTTCTCATGCAAGAGAACTACACCAAGGGAAAGAAGGGGGAACTATATGCATACAGAAGTCAAGCACACCTCCCTTAAGGATCAGTGAAGACTCCTCCAGCCAGTTATTTCTCTTGGGGGGGGGGGGGTGCCGGACAATTCATGAACACTTAGTTTTGCAAGAGAGAGAAACTTGAAAATGGAAGCTTGAACCTACTTAGATTTTTAAAAGTAACTAGATTCTGGGACTCAAAAGCTCAATAAGGTGACCAACTGTCCTCCTTTAGGGAGGACAGTCCTCCTTTTGTAAGTTCTGTCCTCCCTCAAAAAGTGTTCTCCTTCATGTCCTCCTTTTTGATATTTGAAGACTAATCTGCAGGGCTTTTTTTCCCTCATAGAATGCTCAGAACGGTGTTCCGGCACCTTTTTTTGATGGGTTTTGTTTTCAACTTTTGCATGAGCTGTGCTACTCCCACTATTGGCTTTCGAAAGCCAATAGGAATTGCTGCTGAGCGCGCCAAAACACCCGGCTGGCAAACTTTGCACATGCAAGTTGTCTGTATTATTGTTGCAATGAATAAAATGTTTCTTTTATTTACGATATTTTTTTCTTCAATTTATTTGTGTCCTCCTTTTCATTGTAAAAAAGTTGGTCACCTTATCATAAAGCACTTATTTGTGTGCAGAGTCCCTAAATAACTTCCAGTTTGCTAGCTTGATTCCATTAATAAAATTATGGAACATGTAACATTTATTCCCTATTTATTCAGGGGAGCCTCAATCTTTCTAGATCAGTCTTCCCAATTTCCAGAGTTAGAATTCAGCCTTGATTATTCCTGAACAGAAGATTTGGAAGGTGCTAGTTTGTGGAATGGAAGCGAATCAATAGATTCCTGCACTTCTGTAGGGGTGTGGCTCTCGGCGGAGATGAATATCTTTCTACATCCTAAATCTTTATGTTTGATTTCCTGTGGCTCCCCTGGATTTAGGACCTGGGAGCATCAGCAGGCCAGAGGCCCCAAGGGAGGGAGGCTCATTCATGCAGGCCAGGCTGAGTCCAAACACGCCCAGTGTCGCTAAATGCTTTTAAATGCTAAATGCCACGTGCTTCTGTAAATTCTCTTGCACAGAAGTCTCCATTAGGACAAAGCTAAGGGAGAGGCAAAGAGGCAGCAGAGCCTAGAAAAGGGGGGCATAGAAAGAAGCGGGTAACTGCCTATATATGGCAGAAGAAACATAAAGTTCCCCAAAAGACATTTCAAAGGGTTGTAAAGGTACATGCAAAAAACTATGAAAAGTTGCCATAGTCCAGTGGTGGCGAACCTATGGCACGTGTGCCAGAGGCGGCACTCAGAGCCCTGTTTGTGGGCATACAGGCCATGCCCTGGAGATGGCAACCGTCCCTTTTCAATCAGCCGCCCGCTAACTCGCCAAGGGCCCACATGGCCGGATGCATCCCAGCACCCATGCGCTCGCTGGCCTCTGTGTGCAGAGTTCGATGGTGTCAGGTAGCCACCGCCCCTGCCCCTGCCCCTGCCACACCTTGCCCTGTGACAATGGCACCCCCGCCCTGCCTCGCCTTGCCTCATCTCACTCCACAGGATGAGCCTCCTGCCCACCGCCCCACCTGGCAGGGACCCCCTGGATCTCCCCCAACCCTGCCCGGCCCCCACAGGCATCCCTCCCTGCGAGCAACACTGAGGTGATCATGCCCACCTTGGCCACACCCACCCAATCTGCCATGACCACCACAGCCACGCCCACCCAGTGGGCCACGCCCACCTGGCACCCCGCGATAAATAAGTGGGTTTTGGGTTGCAGTTTGGGCACTCAGTCTCTAAAAGGTTCGCCATCACTGCCATAGTCTTTGTTGGAAATGCATACCGTAAATGTCGGCGTATAAGGCGACTTCCGCGAGCGCTGAAATTGACGCCAAAGACGGGGGTCGTCTTATACGCCGAGTCGTCTTATACGCCGGAAATACTGGTAGTTTCCAGCGTATAAGATGACTTTCTAGGAATGCGGCCCAGCGATAAAGACGGGAGTCGTCTTATACGCCGGAAATACTGGTAGTTTCCGGCGTATAAGATGACTTTCTAGGAATGCAGCCCGGCGATAAAGACGGGAGTCGTCTTATACGTCGGGTCACCTTATACCAGTGTTTCTCAACCTTGACCATTTTAAGGCATGTGGACTTCAACTCCCAGAATTCCACAGCCAGCATTGCTGGATGTGGAATTCTGGGAATTGAAGTCCACATGCCTTAAAATGGTCAAGGTTGAGAAACACTGCCTTATACGCAGGCATATACGGTACCTTTTTTAATTTGAAATTTTTAAAGTAATGTACAAAACAAATTAATTTTACAAACAAGCTCAGACAAACACCTACCTAATTCACAGTAGCATAAGACGTTTGGGGGAGGGAGGTATAACACAAACAAACTTGGCAAGATTTTCTTATTATGTTCAGTCTCAATTTAAAATAAAATGTTTGGGTCTTCCTGTGGGGCTGATTTCTTGGGCTGGTCTACCAAGTGGGGATGAGCTTGAAGAACCTTTCATGGCTAAGGAGGGGCTGGAATTTGGCTATCCCCACTCCTAGCTCAGCAACAGCCCTTTCACCCCTGCAGCTCACCAGCTCTCTAATAGGAAAGCCATCCAGAGAGACCCCCCCCCTACTGCACATCGGCCACCTACCCATCAACTGCAGGAAGAAGCCTGAATGGTGGTGATGAATGAAACATGGGTCGTCCTCACTTAGAGACCCCAATTATGACTGGGAGTTCTGATAAATCATTTTATTGCAACAGGTTTTTCACTTCACTTCCCTTTTGGTCATTAAGTGGATCAACATGGACATTAAGTGAGACATCAAATGACTGCTACTTGTGATTTTATTTCTGTCTTCCACATGACTTTTGTTTGTCTTAAGCTTGTGGGAAGTTTGCTAATGGCTATCACAGAATCAGGAGACAGTGTGATGGCTGTAAATCCAAGGATTGTTTGCCAAATGGTTATACCATCACGATCTGGAATGGTTACTAAACGAGGCAAATGGAAAGTCAGGACTATCTACATTAAATCCAGAAAAAAAAAGCCATTTGTAATGGAGGTCATGTCCTGGAAGCCTCACAGGGAGGAAATTTGTTGTACTCAACTGGTGAATTATCTAGAACAGGGGTAGGCAACCTTGGCTCTTTTATGACTCGTGGACTTCAACTTCCCAGAATTCCTGAGCCAGCATGGCTCAGCTTGTAAACCTCTCCCTTTCCCCTCAGCATGGCTGGCTCAGGAATTCTGGGAATTGAAGTCCACAAGTCATAAAAGAGCCAAGGTTGCCTACCCCTGATCTAGAAGGATGTAAAGGATCATGGTGAGAAAAAACATTTTTGCTCTGATGGTTTTATAAGCACACACAAATGGATGGCTCCCTCCCAAATGGATGGCTTTGTGAGCTGAGCTCTTCCCAAAAAGCTGCTGGGGGGGGGGGGGGAACAGCCACTTCTTCAAAGCCTTGACATGGTTCCTTCTAATCTTTCTCTTCGATAGCCTAGTGATCCTAGCTTCCTCAGCTGACCATCATACGATTTAGCGTTGACCCTTTATCATCTTTGTTAATCTCTGCACTTTCCAGGGACTCAACATCTGTTTTGTATTCTTGTGACCAGAACTGGATGCAGTATTCTAAGTGTGGTATCACTAGTATAGTGTGAAACAATACAATTAATTCTTGCTGTCTTGACACAATCCCTCTGTAATAATAATAATAATAATAATAATAAAGTTGGAAGGGACCTTGGAGGTCATCTGCTTTTTTTTGGCAGTTGGAGCATACTTGTCCACTAGTCCATTCCTCTCTTACTACTGTTGAGCCATGTACTACCTATTCCTTACCAGTGCACCTGATTTTTCCAACCTAAGTATAGGACCTTATTTTATTCACCACTGAGCTGCATATTGTTGGCCCAATGATCAAATGTGTCAAGATCCTTCTGGATCTTGAGTCTATTTTTTGTTAAAGTTTTGGCTCTTCCCCCCAACTTGGCGTCGTCTGCAAATTTATACAAGTTCCCCTCCTGTAGATCATTTATGAAGATGTTGAAGAGTCCTGGGCCCAAGATCAAACCTTGAGGTGCCCTACTGCATGCTTCTCTCCATGTAGATGTAGTTCCATTGAGGAATACCCACTCAGTGTGGTTGGTCGGTCAAATGCGAATCCACCTGGTGCTGGTTCTGTCTATCCCACGTCATTCTATCTTACCAAGACATAAGTTGGGGTCTACCTTGTCAAAGTCCAAGTATACTATCTCCACAACATTTTGCAGATCCACTAATTTAGTGACTTCATCAAAAATGGTAATAATGTTTGTCTGGCATCATCTGTTTTTAAGAAACCCATTCTGGCTTCAGTTACAGCTGTCCATCATTTGTTTCTCCAAAAGCATTAGTGGAAAAACAAATAAAAGTGTACTTTAATTAAATAACTTGTGCAATTCTCAATCTTTTAAAAGAAGGAATAAAATCAGGGAGCAGAGCACAGAAGAACCAAGAGGGGTCACAGGCACCTTCAAATGCTCCAAGTTCCACACTCAGGACCAACTTGCAAATTGATCAGCCAAGTTCTTCTTATGTTAAAGGAATTCATCCCCAGGTTTTTCAAAACATTTGTGTCCACTCACTGTCTCCCTCCATGGGGACCTAAACTGTCTGATGAATCTGGTTCAGAATTCAGAGACTCATCAGGGAAGTCAGACAAGACAGATCCTCAGTAATATTATGATTTTCGAAGTCTACAAACCCATTAGCACAACTAATGGCTGCTTTAAACTAGTTGTCTAGTTTTAAATGTTTTGTGTGCTGCCTGCATCCCACGGATGGGGCTTTGCTTGTTTGTGTGGACCAGTTGCTGGCATGGCATGGCCTGGTACCGGTCCATGCACCGGGAGTTGAAGATCCTTGATGTAGAAGACCATCTCTGAATCTCAAAAGAATGTCAATCAAATAGATCCAGTTTAACCATTTGAATTTTTAAACTGTGCCTAATGAATTGCTGTATTTTCATAGAATTTAGGACTGGGGCAGATAGCAATGCAACAATAAATTAAGAGGCAGAAGCCTAACTGCAGCTCATATCATCAGAGGCAGAGAATGGCTGGACTGATGTACGATGCAAAATGAAAATTTAAATTTATAATCAGGAGGGAAGCGAAGCTGAGTATTAATTACAGATTAGTTACAGAGGTGCAGAATGCACCACAGGCAGATTGCAAATTAATAATTGTAGTGTGTGACAAACACACTGTATGTGTGGAGCTGTCATCACTGAGCAAGAGTTAGGAAATGAGTTTTACATTACCTTTTTATTATTAGATTCATTTATTATTAAACTTAATCATTGCCCATCTCGCAATTTGAGGCAACTGTGAGTGACTTGCCTTAACCTAATGTTCACAGTAACATTGACAATATGCCTTGTTTTCCTTGTCAAAAGCTACTGATCATTCCAACATAATGCATTTTTAAAAATGAAACATTTTCTACCATACATTTTATTTTCTGATATTAAGGTAGCAAAACAGAGATTGTCACTCTTCTTGCGTGACACTGTGGACAGTGTGGCAAAATGGTCACCGCTTCAGCAAGTCCACTGCATGGCTCAGGGATGAATGTAGGTCCCACTGAAAATGACGGCTGCTTCCAACACACAGTCATGAGGCCCAGGGATGCATGCCCTCCCCTCCTTATCCAACACAAGGATCAGATATCTTCAACAGGTAAAGAGGAGGAAGGTGTGAGGCCTGGTGGGGTGGGAGTCAGGTTTAAGGATTGTGGGGATGCTGGGAGAAATGTGAGGCCTGGGGAGATTTTGTGGAGGAGGGAAAGGCCAGGAGGATACAAAGGTTGGGAAACAGAGCACATGGCGTCTCAGACAGTGGGGGAGGCCTAGGAATACCTACAGCAGGCAAGCCTGGCCCTGCGCTAGAATTCCAATGGTTTTCCCCAACCCTGAGGTAACAAATGTTCCGCTTAGTGACTCACACATTCAATTAATAGCTGCATCAGGGAGATCAGGGTAGTTAAGAAAAGCTTAAAGCCATTGCAACATTCAACCATAATTGCAAGACCCATGACAGTTGTATCTTGAGGACCTCTTATATGCTGGCTGGGGTATTCTGGGGCTCAAAATCTGGAGGAAACCAAGGTAGAAGATTGAAACTCCACATGTAGGAATTTGATAATCAATATACAAAAACATCACCCGAAAACCTCTTTAAGGAATTCCACAACTTCTGCAAAAGGAAATATCCAGTAATTGTTGCTGCTAACAAGAAACTGGTAGTTAGCCTTTTTCCATTTTCCTTTTCTCTCCACCTACAAGTCTAGTCCTGAGACATGTTTGAGTAAAAAGATTCAGACCACAATTCAAATATTCAATTTCTCACCTACATTTTCCATGAGATATCACAAATGAAATTCAAGGCCTTTTCTAAACTCTTCTACTTTTTCCTCAAATGGATTTGCTTGTGTGCAACAAAGGATGATTTATGCCTGAAGCAACGTCCACAGACTGGACATTTGAAAGGTTTCTCCCCTGTGTGAATCCTCTGGTGTATCACTAGGATGGAATTCTGACTGAATCTTTCCCCACAATCCGGACACTGATACGGTTTCTCTCCTGTGTGAGTCCTCTGGTGGGTCACCAGGCTTGAATTTTCACTGAAACTTTTCCCACAGACAGGGCATTCAAAGGGTTTCTCTCCTGTGTGAGTCCTCTGGTGTTTCACCAGGTTGTAATTACGACTGAACCTTTTCCCACAGTCAAGACATTCAAAGGGTTTCTCTCCTGTGTGAGTCCTCTGGTGTATCCCCAGGTCAGAATTACAAATGAAACTTTTACCACAATCAGTACATTCAAAGGGTTTCTCTCCTGTGTGAGTCCTCTGGTGTTTAATCAGGCTAAACTTTTCAATGAATTTTTTCCCACAATCAGGGCATTCAAAGGGTTTTTCTCCTGTGTGAGTCCTCTGGTGTATCACCAGGCTGGAATTACGACTGAAACTTTTCCCACAGTCAGGACATTCAAAAGGTTTTTCTCCTGTGTGAGTCCTCTGGTGTTTCACCAGGTCAGAAGTACAATTGAAACTTTTCCCACAGCCTGGACACTGATACGGTTTCTCTCCTGTGTGAGTCCTCTGGTGTATCACCAGGCTAAAAAAGTGACTGAAACCTTTCCCACAGATAGAACATTCAAATGGTTTTTCTCCTGTGTGAGTCCTCTGGTGTTTCACCAGGCTTGAATTACGACTGAAACTTTTCCCACAGTCAGGACATTTAAATGGTTTTTCTCCGGTGTGAGTCCTCTGGTGCATCACCAGATCAGAATTACAACTGAAACTTTTCTCACAATCAGAACACTCAAAGAGTTTCTCCCCTTTGTGAGCCCTTTGATGTTTCACCAGGCTGGAATTTTGACTGAAAGCTTTCCCACAATCAAGACATTCAAAGGGTTTATTTCCTGCATGAGTCCTCTGGTGTCTCATGAGGTAGGAATTTGTAATGAAACGTTTCCCACAATCTGGACACTGATATGGTTTCTCTCCTGTGTGAGTCCTCTGGTGTCTCATGAGGTGAGAATTCTGACTGAAACTTTTCCCGCAATCAGTACATTCAAAGGGTTTCTCTCCTGTGTGAGTCCTCTGGTGTCTCATGAGGTGGGAATTTCTAATGAAACTTTTCCCACAATCAGGACATTCAAAGGGTTTCTCTCCTGTGTGAGTCCTTAGGTGCCTCACCAGGTTGGAATTGTGACTGAAACTTTTTCCACAATCAGGGCATTTGAAGTGTTTCTCTCCTGTGTGAGTCCTCTGGTGTGTCACCAGATTGGAATAGCGACTGAAACATTTCCCACAGATAGGACATTCAAAGGGTTTCTCTCCTGTGTGAGTCCTCTGGTGTATCACAAGGTGGGAATTCTTACTGAAATTTTTCCCGCAATCAGGACATTCAAAGGATTTCCCTCCTAAGTGCGTTGTCTGGTCTATCACCAGGCTGGAATTGTGACTGAAACATTGAAAGTGCTTCTCTCCTGCGTCAATCTTCTGGTCTATTACCAGTCTTGAATCGTGACTCAACTTTTTCCAAGAATCAGGACATTCAAATGTTTTATTTCCTCTGGGAGTCGTCTGGTGTTTCAGAAGGTTGGAATTCTGACTGAATTTTTGCCCACAATAAGGACATTCAAAGGATTTCTCTCCTTCATGAGTCCTCTGGTGTCTCACAAGGTGGCAATTTCTAATGAAACTTTTCCCGCAGTCAGGACATTCAAAGTGCTTCTCTCCTGTGTGAGTCCTTAGGTGTCTTACCAGGTTGGAATTTTGACTGAAACGTTTCCCACAATCAGGACATTCAAAAGATTTCTCTCCTGTGTGAGTCCTTAGGTGTCTCACCAGGTTGGAATTTTGACTGAAACTTTTCCCACAATCAGGACATTCAAACATTTTCTCTTCTGTATGAGTCATCTGATGTATCACCAGTTTGCCATGCTCACTGAAGCATTTACCGCATTGGGGGGACTTGTAGATCTTCTTTCCTGTGTGGGTCCTTCCATGAACCACAACGGAGCTGTTCTGACCAAAGCTTTTGCCAAATTTGGAATATTTGTATGGCTTTTCTCCAATGTGGATCCTCTGATGCACAATGAAATTTGCAAGTTGTATCTTTTCCACAATAGGCACATCTATGGAGCCTTCCCACAACTTATATTCTTGAGGACGTCAAAAATATGGATGGTCCCTTGTTTAGTCATGCTTTGATTCAAGCTGTTTTCTTCCTCCCAGAGTGAGACCTGCATTACTGTTTGCCCAACATGGCTATCCAATCTACCTTTTCCTTTGCAATGACTTCCAGACAGTTCCCTCTTTTGCTGAATGATAAATAATTTCTCTTGGCTTTTCATGTAACGTATCCTTGAGTTCTGTATACTCTACTTATTCCAGGTTGAAATCTTTCTTAATTTTCTCTTTTGTCTATCAGCTGCTGGAGAAGGATTGTTTATTTTTCTGAAGGAAATGAAAAATACTTTGATTTCTGGTTCAATTTGCTTTCCTTTTCAAAGTTGCTTGTTAGTCTCAGTTGTCAAGCGTGCTCTTATTGCCATCCTCTTTGTCTACAGGATTCAAAGAAAAATGTATCTTTGTTTATAAAATGGTTGCAGAAGATATGAGAAAGAAAAAGTATACATTACAACAAAAAAGCAAACATGCTAGAATAATCCCTTACATTAATTATGATTCATTTGACACATGGAAGATTACCAAGATCCAAGTTCAAATATTAATTAAATCATGTGAAATTCTCTTGTTGACTTGGGTCAATCACAAATTCTTAACAGTGCAAAGGGTTATCATCAAATTTACCTGGAAATGCTGGGGATAGATTATACACTTGTAGATACAGGCATATAGAGATACACCTACCTATGTCTTTCAAGCCTGATAAAATGTCCCAAAATGGTTACAGTCAAACCCCCTGAGCTAACTTTAGAGATGTGGGGGCTTTAGCTGCTGAAATGATGCTTAAAGCCTCAGCAAGATTTGAAGTACCAGTTTTGCCCAAGGAAGTCCTCAACTGCAAATAAGGACAGAAAATACTGCCCACAAGTACTATGATGACATCCCAACTCAAGCAGTGCTCACTTAAGAACCACATTTGGAACTGGTATCTCTGTCACTAAGAAGCCCAATCATTAAGCATGATGTCACATGACAGAGCCAACTTATATCTGTTCCTCTGCCATTGTTAAGCAAATTACTATGGGCTGTTAAGGGTAATTTCACATGATTGCGACTTGCAAATTCCTGCCGGCATCCCCATTGATTTTGTTTGTCAAAAGCTAGCTGAGAAGGTCACAAATAGGGAATATGAGTGTGGAATACTGCAACCTTCATAAATGTGCCCCAGTTGATAAAACTCAAATTAGTGCAACTCCTTTTCCTGCATCTTGATAACCATAAGAACTGCTGATGTGTGGTCACTGAACAAGAGCTATGATTACCACAAATTTGTGTTGCCAGGTGTAAGTCTGCTTTTACACTGACATTGTAACTTTGAAGGCTCAGAGAACAAATGGTGAGGACTACCTATAAAATTGAACATCCTGAGAGGTCCTCAATAGTTATTTTTTTTTAAAAAAAGTGCTGGGTTAAGAACAGTTGAACCTGGTTAATACACGGATGGGGCACCAATATGTGCTTGTTGATGATACATGGAAGTGAAAAAATGCCAGAAAAGACCAGTGCCAGATCAATACAATAATGTTGCCATGAAAACAGCAAGTCCACAATAGAATAACAGAGCTGGAAGGGACCTTGGAGGTCTTCTAGTCCAATCCCCTGCTCAGGCAGTAGACCCCATACCATTGTGGACTAATGGCTGTCCAATCTCCTCTTAAGGGTTCCTCACAAATCTATGTGACAACTTTATCATCCAAAAGAGAGGAGGGAACTAGGGGGTCTACTATAGTGATCTAAATTCTTACTAGCAGAGATGAAATCATAGAGGGATGTTGAAATGTCACAAACTTTGGAGGGTGAGTAACTATGTCATACTTGAATTCAATATAATACAGACCACAAGTAACAAAACTAGTTATTATAATTTAAAAGAGCTGATGTCAACAAACTTAGAGACAGGTTGGGAAGGATTTCATTGGATGAAAATCCTAAAGGGGGAAACAACTCAAAAAGCTTGACAACCTCTGAAAAATATGATTACAAAAGCCCAGTGCAACACAATATTCCCCTGGCCTCAGATTGAAGCGGCAGCAGGAACCGCAGCAGAAAGGAGACAGACCTTTTCCAGGTGAGTCCCGCACAGCAGGAAGGGAGGGGGAAGCATGAGAGCATTAAGTGAATGCTCATAACTCAGGGATTACCTGTACTCGCGCTGGCAGCTTAGAAAAATCGGTTCTTCTGTTTAAAAAAAGGTGCCAGAATGCCATTCCATTCATTCTATGACAAAAAAAGCACTGGATAAAACCAAACTTGGAATAACGCATCCAGCTTTGGTCACCATATTATACCAAAGATGTTGAAACAGTGGAAAGGCTGCAGAAAAGGTCAACAAAGATGATTAGGAAGCTTGAGGCTAAGATATATAAAGAACGGTTGTAGGAACTGGGTATGTCTAGTCTAGTGAAAAGAGGAATTAGGGATGACAGGATAGTAGTGTTCCAATACTTGATGATTTGCCATAAAGAAGAGGGGGTCAACTTATTTTTCAAATCACCAGAAGGCAAGACAAGAAGCAATGGAGGAAACTAACCAAAGAGAGAAGTAACCTAGAACTAAGGAGAAACTACCTAACAGTGAGAACAATTAATCAGTGGAATGGCTTGCTTTCAGAACTTGTGGATGCTCCATCACTGGAGGCTTTTAAGAAGAGACTGGACAGCCATTTGCCTTAAATCACAGGTGTCAAATTCGCCACGTCACGAGATGTGTCACAACTTTTTTTGCAATGCTAGAGCTAAGGGGAGCGTGGCCTCTATATGATGCAACCGGCTCATGGCCGGCAGTTTGACAACCCTACCTTTTTTTTTTTTTTTATTAAAAAGTTTTATAAATTTTACAGAAAATAAAAGACAATACAAAAACAAAAAACAACATATACAAATAAAAACAAACATTACCCAACAAAACCCCCCTTCCCCCACCCCTACCCAAACCCCCCCTTCCCCCCCCAGGGCCTCCCAGAGCAGAATATAGGCTTAATTTAAAAAAGTTAAAAAAATTTATATTTATATAAAAAAAAGAATATAAAATAGAATATATATATATATATATATAAAGTTAAAAATTATGAAAAAACTATATAGTATTTTTTTATCAAATTTAAATTGTATGAATTTTATCCATTTATCCCAAAACAGCAAGAAATTTCTCTTGCGTTTGACCCTTTAAGAAAGCCGAAATCTTTGCCATTTCCGCCAAATGAGACACTTTAAGAAACCATTCCTGCAATGTAGGCAAAGATTCCTTCTTCCAATATTGTCCTACTAACAGCCTCGCAGCTGTAATCAAATTTAACATCAATATAACCTCCTTTGTATCACAATCAATAACTATACCTAACAAAAATAATTGTGGAGTAAATTTTACCCTCCTTTTAAAAATTCTCTGGATATTCCACCATATCTTAATCCAGAATGCTTTTATCTCTCTGCACGACCACCAAATATGATAATAAGTAGCGTCCATACAACCACATCTCCAACATTTAGGTTGTAAGTCAGGGTACATAAAAGACATTTTTTGTGGATCAAGGTGCCATCTATAAAACATTTTATAAAAATTCTCCCTTAAGTTCTGTGCTTGTGTAAATTTGACATTTCTCACCCAAATAGTTTCCCAGGTGTCCAATGGAACTGGCTCACCAAAATTCTGCGCCCATCTAATCATACAATCTTTAATTAGTTCCGTTTCTGAATCCAATTCAACTAAAACCCCATAAATCCTCTTAATGTGGGTTTGTCTTTGATCCTTCACTTGCTTAATAAGATTTTCATCTTCTCTGAGAAAACCCACCTTACAGTCCATCTTCCATCTGTCTAATAATTGCCTATATTGGAACCAAGAATAAATAATATTTTCTTGTGCTAACTCTTCCCGTGATTTTAACTGCCAGTTTTGTCCATCCCATTTAAGTAACTGTCTATAGGACACCATATCCATTTTAACCCCTCTTTTTATTCCTTCTATTGCATGCCAAGGTATAGCCCATAATGGTACTTTGAAATCACTTTTATAATATTTTCTCCAAACCCTAAGTAAAGAAATTCTTAAGATATGAGATTTAAAAGCCCAATCCATTTTTTTATTAAATATTAAATAGGCATGCCACCCAAAAAGTAAATTCCATCCCTCTAAGTGAAGTATATCAGAATTTGTCAAATTTACCCAGTCACTAACTAATGTTAAAACCACCGCATCATAATATAATTTCAAATTCGGCACCTTGAGTCCTCCCCTCTCACGGAAATCTTGCATAATTTTAAACTTAACCCTTGGCTTTTTCCCTGCCCAAATAAATTTATTAAGGCCTTTCTGCCACTCAGTTAAATTGATCTCATTCTTCAAAATCGGTATCATTTGGAACAAAAAGAGAAACTTGGGTAAAATATTCATTTTTATCACTGCAATTCTTCCCATGAGGGATAATTGCAACTTTTCCCAATTCTTCAAGTCTCTCTGTACCCTAACCCACAACCTTTCATAATTATTTTTAAATAATTTTGCATTAGAAACAGATAGCATCACCCCCAAATATTTTACCTTATTAACAATTTCAAAACCCGTCAAATTAACCAAAGTCTGCTTCTCCCGACTAGTCATATTTTTAGGTAAAATTTTAGTCTTATTAACATTAATCTTAAAACCCGAAACCAAACCATAATTATGAATCAACTGTAATAATTTTACTACAGAATAAGTAGGTTGCGACAAAGTA